AGCGCACATCTGTCCCCATCAGCGTGTGTCATCCTATTTTATTTCAAAGTGAAGGCCCTCTTGCTCACTTACTTTCTCATACAGGCCCGACTCCGAATAAACCACAAAACCCCCCCCGGGGTTTATCGGAGGAGGTCTGAGTCCACTAACGCTGTACGACACGAACAAATTGACATGTGTGTATTCTAATGAGAGGTGATGCATACGATTACTGACAAGCCATAGTCTAATCAGTTAATGACCTAAACGTCATGGATGCAAATATATCCAGTACATACTTGCATGTATGTGGTGGTTAGAGGCAAGATTGTATTTAACTTTAGAGCCACGGAGTCTCAAATCGATTAAGAATTTGCTCTATAGAATGTCAGCAGATGGGAATTAAATTACCTTTCTACAAGTTTACTAAGTTTTACATTGTCTTTAGTCCAGCAACAAAATACACCTTTAAAAATATTCATTATCACAGAAGGCAAGGAACATTTTTGGGAATTATCAAAGTAGTTGCGATTGAATTCCTTGTTTTCAACGCTGATAATCGTGATCATACAACAAAGAGAAAATGTGCCACATGCGTTCAGTTTGAGGCACGCTCTGAATTGCATTGTACACAGAGATGATTCTCTTTATTTAGTCTGATGTAAATCGGTTGTTCTACTCTACCGGTGGAAAGAGCTGTGGTCTCTCAAAAGAACGATTCCTCCCTCTTACAGTTGCTTACAGTTCGAGGCTCGGCATTGGAGGTGTGTGAAGCAGACACTTTCATTGCCACGTTGAACTGCCAAAAGAGACATTCTTTCCACGAAAGGAACCACTTGGAGCATATTTCCCATTCTCGCAGTGTGCGAGTGGCCTTGGACACCAGGATCATCACAGCAGCGGGCGGAGAAAAGAAGATGAGCAGCAGCCGCTCGGCCGCGGCAGAAGGAAGGAGAGCGTCTCTGTGCATCGCCGCCGAGGGGAAGTGAAGAAGCCTTGGTTGTTGGCAGGCGCTGAATGTCCAACGCCTTCGCATCGCCCTCCCATCACGCTGCGCATCGTCACAGGGTGCAGCTTCTTCTCCCTCTGCTTTGGAAATGAGATGGGAAGTGGAACACGTCGCACGTCGTCAGAGGTCCACTTCAACTGTTCCCTTTGCCGCCAACAAAATCCAATTTGCTTTTTAAATCTCACTTCGCCTCCTCTCACCAGTACCTCGAAGTGTTGCAACGTCAATTTGCTTGTTTTCCAGATGAAATGGCGAGGGAGGGATTTGCTATGCAACACTGAATAACTGTTTTTTTCCATTTATTTTCTCCCCCCTCGATATTTCCGTAATGCAGCGTTTTGCAGTTCTCGCTGCGGCCTGCGGACATTTTGTGCAGCGTCTCTGTGTTCTGTTTTATCTGCACACAGCAGAGGGAAGTGAGTTCTTCCTGTTGAAGATGCGTCTTGCAACCTGTTGACCTTTTTCTTTCAAGCAAAGACTATTTTGGTGTGAAAGATTTCACCCGGCATCTCTTTTTAGCCATTTTTAAAAAAAAACCACTGCTGTGCCTTGGGTCAAGTGTGCACATGGACCAAAAAATGCGGTTCCTAAAAGAAAAGTAACCTATTAGTGCGTAATGCGTGCAGGTGCAGCAGCCTGCCTCGGTAATCCAGCTGTGAAACACACACACACACACACACAGCGGTTAACTCTAGTTATACAGTGATTTATCGGAACCAACTGGTCGGCACACTCCTCAGGATTTGTTTGTGCCGCATAAAGACATCAAATCACTTCATAGCATTTAGTTTTCTCGTGAACAAATAAGCAGCGCTACAGTGTGACCCCCTCCCCCAGTGGGCAGCCGGCCAGTGTCTGTGCCCGGTTAGCAGCGCGGTGCTGGGAACCTCGAGGCCCCCGAGCAGGTGTCAACCTCCCCGATGGGCCAAAGGAGCCGGAGCGAGGAACACAAAGGGCTCAAAGAGGCCTGCCAGCGAGGCCACAGTCTTAAATGTCAGTGGGGCCACTCCTCTAAATCTCCCGGCAGCGGCGGGTAGCTGCCAGTTCTGCCGCTGGAGCACCGACTCCCGAGCAGGGGGATCGGAGCGGTGAGATTGATGGAGGCACGGCTTTTATTTTGTGTGTGCGGTGGGACCGAAGCCCGGCCAAAACACAAGAGGCCCGGGAAGAGAGACGGATGATGACCCTGGATTTAGTGCCGTCATCTCACCCGACGTCCCTCCCTTTCCGGCTCTTGTTTTTTTTTACGGTTTGCCGATCATCTTTACGGGGCCGCTTCCAGATCTCTCGTGCGACCTTTGGGATCACCGGCTCGGCTCACGGCGTTTGGATTGGCGAGACTATAAAAGTCGAGGATGAGAGGGAGGAGTGACCTTTCTCTCTCTCTCTCTCTTGTTCATTGTTGCCGACTCCGCGGTGATGATGTGCATGCGATGGGGGGGACGGAGTGGAGTGGAGGCTACCCTCGTCTTCAGTAAACAATAGGTCCTTGTGTGTTTGACCCCTCTCTTTGGCAGAGTGGAGTCCTCGGCTCGGGCTCGAGCCGGAATTCCACCGTTGCCACATTTAGTCGGTGGAAACCCTCCACAGAAAAATACCCCCGACAATCGCCAGTGTTAGCGGGGTCATAGCTCTGGGCTGATTTATTCCTATTTACAACCACATCAATAATCAATTATCTTTTCTCTCTGGCTGCGGTGGCCCCCCGCTGATTGTCTGAACGTGCCGTGCCACATGATATATCGCCCCCTCGGCTTTGTAACTGATTACTAACCTAGATTTGAGGGTGATGAGCCACATTGGTGCTACTAGGTCAGTTAAAATGTGCTTGACAATGATTTATTCGTCCTATTGTTGAAGTATTAGTTCTTTTAATGTTGGTCTGAAAACTTAATGAGGACAAATGACCTGATAAAAGGAGTGAAAGGGCTTCACAGTCCGCATGTAGCGCTGTATCTTGTATGTCATTTCCATTCACTGCGCTTCCTTCTTTTCAGTAGCTGAAATGCAAATTCAACCCACATCTCAGACGGTGAAACTGAGAGAGACAAATTGTTATCTCCTCGTCTCACTAGACATCCGATAACCTTTTCACCCCCGCTCATCGCGTGACCGGCCCGCCCATTCTGCGGAGGCGTGCTTAAGCCCAAACCAGAATGACCAGCTCTGCGGCAGCTCGCCTTACTTCCTCACAGGACGACCTGAGCCACCTGCCCTCTCAGCGTCGCCTCCATTATCCCAAAAAGCCCACACAATCTGCGCTCCGGAGAAGCGCCTGTGCGCGAGGCGGGCTGCTTTGCCGACACGCGCCCGATGCCGGCGTGCGTGCGACGAAAAAGGCAGGAAGCCCGATTCTTACAACTGAATTGTGTCAGTTAATCACACTCTGGGTTGATGCCGTTTCAGTGTTCTAGTTTTGGCAGTAATCACTCCGCCGTCCACGTCAGAATGAGTTTACAGACCTCACGGTTGCTCAGCATGTGCTCTGCTTTGCAGTAAATTTGGCCAACCTTTGATGTATTACAAGCAGGATTGAGAACAGATTTAGAGATTTATTTTAATATTTAACTTAAGCTTTAAAGCATGAGCTCCCCCCCCCTCTGGCTTTTCTGCTGACGTAAAGCAGGCCACAGAGAATGTCAATATTTTAGATAAAAACAAGTGGCTGAAAGCACCAAAATGTTGCTGGTCATAATAACTGAATCTTCTAGGGATCCGAAATAAATTTCAAGATAAAGCCATGTTCAAGTCCTTTTTTTTTATTTTATTTTTTTTTATTACGAGAACTGTGACATTGTTTTATATTTAATACAATGTCAAAAAATGTTGTTACTGAATTATTTATCAGATCCCTTCATAGCGTTCAGGAATAGTTTATTGATTTTAACCAAAGACTCCGCTGCGACTTGCACTTTGCAGCTGCTAAAAACTTTAAAGCCCTTAATTAAATATGAAGGCATCGCCCTCCTGAGGTGGGGCCGGATGAGTTCTGTGCCAGTAGAGAGCTGTCAAGGACAAAGCTGCACAAATACCATCGTCGACGGATACACCTGCTACTGTTTGAACAATAGTGCGGCGCAGGATCGACACTTTTTATAAAAGAGCTGGCGGATGTTTCTTCAGCCCCAATTGAAGCATTGCACTGTTAATAGAGTGCAGACGCACCCATTCAACAAACAGCAGGTTTTATTCTGTTGAATATGTGGCGGTAGTTTCAGGGCCTCATCGTGTGCTGCAGCACTCCTCCCTCCTGTCTGATTCTTCACTTAAAACGGATCCTCCGTCTGTCGTCCTGCTTTGGTTATTCACATTTCTGGGGAGATCATTTATTAAGAAAACTGCGCTGGAATGAAAGAATAAAAAGGGGTTTGTCCGAGTTGAGATTAGCTTCCTGTTTTGAGGCGTGAGGGAAATTACGTACACGATCATTTCCTCAATGGAAGGTAACTTTTGCAGTTGACTACTGTGCACAAAAGTTGATGAAAAGGGCACGAATAAAAGAAGAAGTGAAACACTGAATGTGTCGTGTAAGGCTGCTATCAAACAATGGTGAATTTGCATGATTTTCTCAATGGATTCTCAAATCATCGATTTATTTAAAATATCAATATTTTTCTTTGTGGGGAAAAATTCCCATCATAATATCGCTGTCCAAAGACCATTAACCAACTGGGGGTTGATTGAAAGCGTGAAAACATAAATTCCACACATGCTTTTAATGTGAGAGTGCTTTTTAAAATATTAAGTTTCTGTCCAAATAATCTGCTTCCGCTAATTTTATTCAATAGCGTGTGTTGGCTTCGCTAACCCACTAAGCGACACAAAAGAGGATGAATCCGTTCCGCCAGCTTTCGGCATGAGGGAAGTGGATTTGATGCCTTCCCCCCCCCTTTTTTTTTTTAAAAAGCGGGCGTGCGCAGCACGATAAGATCTCGCGTGTCTACATCACCGTTGAGTATTCATTTGGTTGCACAAGGTTTCAGCGTTATCATTTCCACTTTTTGTGTCACAGAGGAAACTTCACAGTTCCGAAGCCGTCAGAGTCTAATATGGCGTTTGGCGTGCTGGGAGTGTTTCTGGGGCTGCTCCTCGAGGTCTCCACTCACGGGCCCCACGCCGTGCCTCGGACCTCCTGGAGACACCAAGGTGAGACTTTATGTCCTTCTATGTACATTATAGAGATAAAGAAAATCGAAATGTGGTGTATCAGAGTAATGAACAGATGATGATGTCACAAAGTTGAAAGAAATGAAGAAAAACATGAGTATATTCCCTAATGCATGTCAATGCAGAAACATGTGAAATGCAATATGGATGCTGGTTTGAAACTGTGCTGATTTAAAATTGAAACCTTGTTTGAGTCATAGAGTCTACGCGTACTCGGTGGGGAAAGTCACAGTAGTTGGACTCGGTTCCACACCTGTTTTCTTAAACTGTATCTCAGACAAACGTCGGCCTCACCACAGTGCTTAGGCATCAGGCGGATGTTCTGTTCGCACGCCACCGTCGACAGAAATAGCTCAGGTAACTGCTGCTCCGTGAGAAGCGGAGACAGAGTTCCTCTCCGCTCTGACACGGTTCGGGGAGGAACTGGAGAGTTTGGCGGTAAATTGTGGGTTTGTCACCACAAGCGACTACACGTGGTCACGCGATCCATGGTTAATATAGAAATATTAATTAGATTAATTATAATTGTAATATTCTAATACAAGTGATTGATAAGAAATGCTTTCTTATACTAGATTTAGATCTGATGGAGTTTTCGGAGCCGGAGATCTTCAACTACTCCACACTGTTGCTGAGTGAGAAGAGAGACGCGCTGTATGTGGGAGCCAGGGAGGCCATCTTTGAGCTCAGCAAGAAGAACGTGACCGTCCGACACAACAAGGTACCAGACAAATGAGATATCTAACAGGACAGAAACCTGTTGAATTTCAATAATGATTTTAAAATGATATATATATCATCTCAAGGTTCAATGGACAGTTGCGGAAAACCCCATGCTGATGTGCACGCAAAAAGGAAAATCAAAAGAGGTTCGTCCATTAATAATTCTCTTTATCACTCTTTCTAGTGTCGAAACTAGTGTTTTTAAAGATGTCTTTTCCATTGAATCCCCAGAGAGATTGCCTGAACTACATAAGAGTCCTCCAAGTCGTGGACGATGAGCGACTGTATGTCTGCGGCACGCACGCCTTTCAACCTCAGTGCGACTACTTGGTAGGTCGACGCGCACTCACCTCCCTGACCCGGGAGGGGGGGGAGACACGATCACACCGCAGAAATAAACATGTGCCGCGGCTCTCCGCCGCCGGTCGCTGCAACCCGTCAGCAAAAACATGTTATCTTGACCTCGCCTCCGCAGAAGCTCGCTGACTTTTCGCTGGGCGGTCGGCCTGAAGACGGCCGGGGGAAGTGCTCCTTCGACCCGTCACTAAGCTTCACTTCGGTCATGGTCGGTGAGTTCAGGGGCCCGGTTTCATCTCGCTTCACTAAGAGCTCTGTCGGTTGTCGGCCCACTTATAAAAAGAGCACAGTAATCCCCACTATTCTTTTAGTTTGGGAGGAAATAGACCGGCTGGACCATAAACGGCTGTTTTTTTTTTTTATTCCCTGTTTTTCTATCAGATGGAGAACTGTACTCGGGGACGTCTTACAACTTCTTAGGCAGTGAACCCATTATTTCCAGATACTCTCCATCCCAGTCCCTGCTGAGGACCGAGTACTCCACCTCATGGCTCAACGGTGAGGGAACATCTTGATATAATGTCAACAGAGTAATGGATTGTAGAAAAGGGTCAAGATGTCCCGGGAGCCAAACCAAAGCATCTGAGCTAAAACTGATCACAATCGGATCCCTTCTTTACTCGACTGTGTTTGTCCGTCTTATACGGTGAACAGCTGTTATTTCAGTGAGCTATAAAACATGTATAATCAACATTTGAGTAATGATATGCTTCAGGCTGCTTCAACTCTCCACTGAAAAAGATTGTGATTGGCAGATCTCCGGTGTCAGTTTTTGGGTTTACTGCGTTCAAGCGTTTCTGCAGAAGCATGTGTCACAGCACAGGAGAAGTTACGCAATGCGGCTTTCACAATTGCGGATCAATTGTCCTTCCGCTCCTTTACCAATACTTTTCTCTCATCCGCTTTCCTCGCAGAGCCCAGTTTTGTTTTTGCGGACGTGATCGGTGACGGGGGAAACCGAGTAGATGGCGAGGACGATAAGATCTACTACTTCTTCACCGAGGTGTCAGTGGAGTACGAATTCTTTGGCAAGCTGCTCATCCCCCGGGTGGCGCGCGTCTGTAAGGTCAGTCTGCGTCATGCACCATCTGCACATGCCGGCGGCGTCCGTCTTTAGCTCCGTTTCCACCTGCCGTATTTGTCTGCACGTCTTTCTTTCTTGTGCAGCCGTCCTTCCGTTACCGTGAATCTGTCACCTGAGCTCGTATCGGGGTTCAAACCCTGTTAGTAGCATGTATTTTGAGTCATGCACATACCGTGCTGCGTCCACGCAGATTTAAAAGCCTTAACATACTTTGATCCACAGTCTGCTTTATAGTTTAGTTGTTTGTGAGACAATTCATCAAAAATAATCACAAAATAAAGATTTCTCCTCACTTAGCCAAGCATTTCTATGCAAAAGCGGCACGTTCAATGAAGGTTCTCCTCTCATATCACCACCGAAAGGCCACAATGACAACTGACTAACTAACTATATTCATCAAATGATGGATAAAACTTTTTTAACACAATGTAATGTAATTTAAATGATGAACAAATAGAAATGGGACATGGGAATGGAATAACTAATCTAATAATCCATACAAATGGTTGTAACACTATCTGAATATTAATGTTGTATTTGCATCTTTGCTACAAAGAGCTACTGTCGCGTCTTTAACGGATAATCAAATATATCTGTCCCTTCAGGAAGATATTAACCACGAATATAGAAATTACATTTGCGGGCCAAAACAATTCCACCAAGCACTCAAACATTGTTTTTCACGAATGTTAATATCTGGAGGCAGCTCAACCCAAAATACCATTTTGTAGAGTAACGTGAGCACGCCCCACTATGCCCACTGGAAATGAAGCCCTGGCACACAATGCTACGCCGGCCCCTCCCTCCCTCGTCCTCATTCCCTTTCCCCTCAGCCGCTCTCCTCATCCTCTCCCCCCACCCCACCCCACACACACTGATTAAACTCCCCCTCCCTCAGGGTGACCTCGGGGGGCAGCGCACCCTGCAGAAGAAGTGGACGTCCTTCCTGAAAGCCAAGCTGGTGTGCTCCATGCCTGAGCTCAACTTTGTTTTCAACGTGGTGCACGATGTCTTCATCCTGAAGGGGGCAGAGCGGAGGGACACCGTCATCTACGGGGTCTTCACCTCCCAGTGGTCAGTGATTTGGAGATCAGAAAGGACAACGTTTTGATATCAGGCTGGTCCTTAAACTCGCTGCTCTTCCCTTCCCGACTCCGTCCTCGTCGTCGTCCTCCTCCCCAGGGGTAACGTGGGCTTGTCGGCAGTGTGCGCTTACAACATGGCAGCTGTGGAAGAAGTCTTCTCCAAGGGCAAGTACATGCAGAAGGCCACGGTGGAGCAGTCCCACACCAAGTGGGTCCGGTACAACGGCATCACTCCGTCCCCTCGTCCCGGAGCAGTGAGTACCTTCCACACGGCTCCAACAAGTATGACGGAGCTCGCTTTGGTGCAGTATTTAGAATACAGACCGGGGAAGAAAGAGAAGCCAGACTGATGTGAACATATGCTACAAGAATATTTTATTTAACGTCTCCTACTCGCGCGTTTTTGCTCCACCAGTGTATTAACAACCTGATGCGAGACCAGAACATCAGCAGCTCGCTCCACCTGCCAGACAAGACCCTCCAGTTTGTCAAGGACCACCCGCTGCTGGAGGACCCCGTCCTGCCCATCGGCAACGGGCCTCGCCTCATCACCAAGGACGTCAACTACACTCAGATAGTTGTGGAGAGGGTCCGAGCGCTCGACGGGAACATTTATGATGTCATCTTCACTGGAACAGGTAACACACTTTAATTTAAGAAGTGTTATAAATAAAGTGTCCCGAACAGTACATTCTGTATTCTGATCGTTGGTTTGCTGTAGATAAGGGAGTCCTGCACAAGTCAATGGTGTATGAAGGAGAAGTGCACATTATGGAAGAGATCCAGCTCCTGAAGAACTCAGAGTCCATCAAGACCCTGCTGCTGTCCACGGAGGTCAGTGACGAACGAGATTAACATGTTTTGATCCTGACAGAAATACATGGCATCGATACGAAAACCTTTACGGAACCATTTTTCTGTTATAGATTCTCTTTTAAGTGATTTTCTTCATATTGTTGTGTAGGGTTCACATTAGAGTAGCAATAGTAAATTCTAAGTTGTTCTATTAGCGTATTTCTTTTGTATATATGTGAACAACATTGTGCTTCCACAGACGCGGTCCCTGTACGCCGGTTCAGACTCGGGTGTAGTCCAGTCCCCCACAGCCTTCTGTGGCCGTTATGCGTCCTGCGATGACTGCGTCCTGGCTCGGGACCCGTACTGTGCTTGGGACCCTCAAAATGCTGCCTGTGTCAATATCTTTGAAGCTCCCAGCCAAACTCTCAGGTAATCTTCCCCTTCTACATACCGGCACCACGCTCCAGCATCACAACACGAGAAGGAGAAGCATGTTAACTCATTCCCCATCCAGTTGGACCTGAATTGTGGTCTACGTCATCTCATCTTCATTTCAGAGTGTGCATATTTTAGATTGCTATCAAGGTAACGCTTATTGGGTGTTGGTTTTTTTACAGGAAGTCAATCCAGAGCCTGAACGGTGACGCAGACAAGTGCCCGTCAGGTAGGGTACAACGCGCTCACATAGCGCCTACTAAAGAAGCACAACAGCTTGGGCAGAGTAAAAACACTGCATACTTATTGTCATGATAACAGCTGATCCACAAGGCAATAGTGAGGTTGAGACGATTCGTCCAAGATACGAACCACGTTGTGCGATTATCCTCATGACAATCTCTGCATCTTTATGTCTCGCAGCATCAAGTCTGTCTCTGAAAGACTACCGGCGTGTGACGGTGAAACCAGGCAGCTCCGCCGAGCTGCCGTGCCTGGGCCACTCCAACTTGGCGCAGGTGATGTGGAAGTCCAACGGCTCGGCCCTCACCGAGGCCTCCCGCTTCCACCTCATCGCCGAAAACGGCCTCCTCATTTACAGCGTGGCTCCGGAGGATCAAGGTCGCTACGAGTGCTGGTCGGTGGAATGGGCCCCGGCCGCCGGGAAGAACTTCAGCCGCCTCCTGGCCGCATACGTCCTCGCTCTGGATCTCCCGCCCGCGACTCCAGGCCGGGCAGCCGTCGTCGCCGCCGCCGCCGAGGGTGGAAAGGAGAGGCCGAGGGTGCGCGCGTCCAAAGGTAACGGTGAGACAGGCGGAGCCCTACTAACGCCGGCCTCCGCCCCTCCCAGCTTCACAGCCGCGGTCCAACTCACCTCCCCGCCCCAAACTGACGCGTCACTAACACCGCCGTCCAGCGGCACGATCAAGGCCCCGCCGAAGCAGCCACCTCCCCCGAGCTCCGACGCCCCGCGGACGGAGAGCAGCGACCCGGCGGCCGAGTACTTGCAGCACAACAACAGCACCGCCCTGCTCTTCCTCTTCCTGCTGTTCTTCCTCCTCTTCCTGGGCCGCGCTGGCGTACAACTGCTACATGCAGTACCTTTCCGGCGCCCTGCCTGCGGCTGCGCGCCGCCCTGCTGGGGCAGCCACAAGAGCGCCAATCAGGCCACCTACTCGGCGTGCGAGGCCGGGTCTGATGGAATCCGCCGCGGCCGATAAAATCCACGCGACGGGGCCGCCGTCGCAGAACGGCGGGCAGGCAGCTCAAAGCCTCCGGGCGCTCCGGGACACCGGCTACGAGACGGAGCCCGAGTGCGGCAACGGGCGGATCCCGTCCCGCGCGTCCGGCGGCGACAGCCCGTCGCAGGAGAAGCCCTTCGACATCGACTGTGAATCTCAGCCCATCCAGTTCGCGGACGCGGATGAGCCCCCCAGCTGCTAGCCGGAAGCTTCTTCTTACGCTTCCCTCAGTGCTCAGAGACTGTTAATGGGGAAAAGGGGGGAGAGGGGGGAGAAGGGGGGAGGTGGGTTGGTACTCTCTTGCCGCATCCTTCCACGGCTCACCTGTGTTTTCCTCCATACGAAGGTATACAGCGCCACGTGAGGTGTGATGGTCACCGGGTGTTCTGCCTGCCGGTAGAGATTTCACTCCTGTCTATTCTGGGGTTTATGATGATAAAAGCTAAAAAAAATAATTCACTGGAGCTGCACCGTCACAGCGTAGTCCAGCAAGAAAAGCTATTCCTTAAATTCCAAATTGGAAACATTGTTTACCAAATTGGTAAGTTACCTTGATGTTTTCCAAATTGGAGTCTTTTGTACAGCCGGGGAGGAAAATAGTCTCTTGAAGTATTCGCATCTCTTTTCTTTTCTTTTTTTTTTTTGGAGCGACATTTAGACTAATGGACTCTGGTCAATGCTTCAACATTCCAGTGATTTCTCAGGGAAGATTTGTTTATTGTTCACCTGGTACGTCGGCCTCTCTCTCACCCAGTGAAGCGCCATCGTCGGGTTTGAAGGTCCGAGGGAGAGAGAAGAAGAAAAGGTCGAGTGGACGCGCGACGACTGGCATGATAGAATAATGCTTGAAAAAAGAATCAAACCACTGTCTTGTGTCGAGTTGTCTTGGAGGGACGTTTACTTCTCCTGTATTTTTATTTTTTTTAATCGACATTCCTACAACTCCGATGGGCCTTTTTTCTATTAACCTCTACTCATTTTTGCTTGTGGTCTGTTGATAACATGAATATGTTCTACATGACGTTACCCTCGACAACGTCAGACATCAGCCCCGAAAACAGTTGATACGACAAAATATTTGATAGTAAGTTTCAGTTTTAGAACTTTTTCCGAGAATTATTATTTAAGACGAGTTGTATCTGGTAATATCATTTTGCCTTTGGTGAAAGTAGTTGCGATCATTCTCACTTTTTATATTTTTTGTTTCGTTATCCCGACCCATTAGTCTTCCTCCTGTCTGTTGCATGTCACCTCTTGTTTAGATTTCCTGTTTTCCTCAATACTCTCTTTTCCCATCACCCCCCCCCCCCCCCCCCCCCTTAAAAAAGGCTTCTTTCCCGGAAAAAATTTATTTCCCCTGCCCCGCTCTGGGAGAAGAGAATCCCTTTGCCGACCCTTCCTCCTCCTCCTCCTCTTCCTCCACCTCTTCGTCCGCCACGCCACACATAGTGGAGGGCCGGGAGGCAGGGGTGAGACTGTTGCCTCCCCTGCTGAAGGACCAGGCCTGGGGGGTTCATGCCCAGGAGGCCTTCCTGCTCTTCTGCCTGGCGTTGGGTGAGTGGTGTCAGCGGCATTGACTCGGCTCACACCTCCCGAACCGCAAATCCATTCCCCTCCCCTTTTTTTTTTTTTAACCTTTCCTGTTTCCCCTTTCCTCTTTTCTTTCTGCATGTTGCATGTTGCCATTTCCCAAACATGACCTAACCGGGAGTGTTTGTGTGTGTGTGTGTGTGTGTGTGTGTGTGTGTGTGTGTGTTTCTGGATCTGTTCAAAACAAGCCTGTCCTTCTGCTTCAAGGCGTAGTGGAGAACTGATCGTCTCCGTCTGTTGAGATACCTTCGTGAATGTTGAGAAAGACAATAATAAACTCTCAGTAATCTGGTTGTCTCACAACTCTTATGTGAATGAAAGGTACAGTTTTGTTTATAGTATTATGTAACAGTCTGATGTGGAACCTGTGAAATTTAGAAAAAGATTTTTTTCCATCAAGGGTGTTATTGTGGACTCGCGTTTTACATCTCAATACTTTATTTGTGCCTGTAAGCAAGTGTAAATATAGTTGTATATTTGGAAAAATACCATTTGAAGATGTACATAATTAGGGGACGTTTTGAGACTATTTCTCTTGGTAGAGAGGATAAATAAATCTGTCAATTCTGTTCAACTCTGCCTTATTTTGTTACATTTTTGACTTTTAATGTTTTTAAATGTTGACTCCTGCAGCATGTACTGAAGATATAAATGAAAAAATATCAGTGACATCAAATATGACTTCTGTGTGACTAAACCTGTTCAACATGCTCTGATCAATATATATCAATATATATATATGATCAATATTTATATATATATATATATATATATATATAATTTCAGTCACAGCGATAAACTTGCTCGCCATAAACCGACCTCAGAGGTCTGTATGTGTGGCGTGTCGTGTCTCCACCATTGGCGCTCGGCTGGGGGATGAACATGAAGTCCTATTCTGTCCCTCAGGTCCCAGTGATCTCCACATTCACTGGCTGATAAACGGACACAGTCTGGCCTCCCCCATAGAGGAGTACCGCCGGCCCGTGGGCCCGGGGGAGGTACTAGTGAGCAGCTGGCTCCGAGAGGGGCCGCTGATCAGGGACGCCCGTTACCACTGTGTCGCCGAGGCCGGCACGGGAAGTGACGCGTCTGAGGTGGACCTCCGCCTCACTATCGGAGGTATCTGGACCTGGAGCTTGCATGGCTGTGAGAATGTCCAGAGTGTCTGACTGGTCTCTCAAGTGTATCTGAGCATTAAAACCAATTGATGCCTCCATAAAGTGAGATGAGGAGGTGGAATTGAGTGCCTAGGATTGGTTTCAGCGATGCCGCCGCCTTTTATTTCCATAAAAGACGTTGTTATTTGACAGATGAGGAGAGCGTTCCATCCAGGGATTTGAACCAGTGGAGAGGTGCACTCACAGAGCATGAGCAACTGCTCAAAAGATGGGAAAAGGCCTGGGTAGGTCTATGTGCATGCATGCTGGTGTGTTTTCTGCAAACGTAATAATGGTTATTGTGCATTTGTTCAGGTCCACTTGCATCATGTGCACCCGTTTAATCCGCCCTGCGTGTTTGGCTCCTGGCAAGTAGTTTGAGCTCGCTGCTTTCAGCACTAGAGACGTGCAAAGTCCAGATTCATTGGGGCCAAAAATTAGGAACACAGCCAATGTCAGCTGATTGATATTCCATGACTTAATATGTTTTAGTATTCAGCAAATGAGCTGTTCTAATTCATTCTGAATGAAGCATTTTGAGGTTTGAAAGAGAAAAACAACCACACCTATTTAACAAAATTACTACCCATTCCTGCAGTTTTTGGGTTAACTACTTTTAGCCATCACAATTAACTCATTATCTGATCATTACGTGATCTATTAACCCCAGCTAATGGTGTGCATGGTAACGTAACACTTTTATGTTCATTTTTTTTTAATGATTAGTAACTGGTTCTTACTATAAAGAATATACATGTTGAAACGGTGACAAACTGCAGGACAGTTTGACGAGTCTCATCCAGTCTTTTCTTGTGTAGGTTGAATTAAGACGCTTTTATGGTTCAAGTTTGACCAGAAAAACTTGCACGCTCCCTCAAAGCGAGTTTCCAAATGCTACTAAAGCCTGAAATTCAATTGTTTGATTATTTAAATTTCTAATTAAACTGTGCAACGATTCAGAGGTCTACAACCAGGCTAGTTGAGCATCTCTTACTCACATTTGCACCATTCTTACCTCCTTTTCTACACTGCAACTGCATTTGCTTCCACAGGAAAGCTGTGATGGCCACTGAGCTGCGTGAAGACGCCATGAGCTTCACTTGTGTCGGCTGAATCTGCTTGTTGACATGGTCCTCACTCAGCCCAGGTGGACCACCCTTTTGACACTGGGGCCCACAGTGCCACTTCTCACAAGGTGGGGGGGGGGTGATGGAGACGTCACAACACCTACCTTCAGCTCACCTGTCTGTGATGATGGTGTTGGAACTCCTTCCAAAGCTGACGAAGAGATCAAGGTCCTCAGTTTGAGGATGCGTGTGCTGCCTTTTCAACAGCGTTTGTGGCCTGTGAAATAATTCTGTTTACTTGACATGCGTCTCAGATGTTGTCCGGCCCTTTAAAACTGCCTTTTCAGCTTGACATTTTCACCTGAGGCCATTTAGTGTGTTGGCTGTTTTCATTGTTTCTTCCAGAGTCCGGCATTGAGCTTATTCACTGGATTTTCCACGACTGGAAAGGTTTTCGACGGGAAGTAGTTTTTTTCAATCGAAGTATACCTCTGATGTTTGACATTAAATGCACTTTTAGCTTCAGATTTAAAAACCCAAGCATCCCCAAAAAAGTGTTTTTTATTAAATGCATTTCTGTCCCTCTGTTATTCACAGTAAAAATGTAAATACCCATTGGCCTCTGAAGCAAAAACAGATTTGAGTTTTTCCATTGCTTACATTTACACCCATTTATGAGAAAGTTACGTGGGATCAAAACTATAGTGGCCTGGTGACACTGCGGCCTTTTCCCAAGGAGCACTTTCTACTATCTGAATTATTAACCGACTGACGGCCTCCTGTTTTTCTTGGAAACCAGTTCTGACATTCTCAGGTTAAAATATAATCCTTGAGTGAAAGCGTATCCTTTTCTATAAGTAGTTTGTATACCTTGCCTGGCGTTTATGCCTCACAGATTTATGCACGAATTGGAATTTAATGTTCTATTCTTACACTACGGATGATCAGAAAAAAAATTGAAACCGCTAAATGTTCAGTGAAAGACAATTGATGTATAACAATAAAATGCAGTTGAGAAATAAATGTGTATGAGCAAAGTTTCCGTAGCTCTGTGATGCTTTCCTCTTTGTCGCGGTGCCGTCTAACACAGCTGGAGTTATATCGCCCTCATGTGACCGAGTAAAGAAACACAATGGCACGAAGAGAAAAGAAATGAACACTCATTTGTTTATCACGTACATCATGTTTGTTGTAGGCATAGTCTGATACTGCTATAACAATCGCTAAACTACAAAAAAAGATTTCATTTGCCATTACCAATCAGCGTGACTGTTTTATGTAGTTGCTAATTGCACTACATGAGGACCTCCTACTGAATGTAGGAATCACTGTTGTGGATCTGAAACTAAGGCCAATACGGCTCAAAACTCCCTTCTTTTTATTTTGGAGATCGCAAGACTACAGAGTGCGTAACCCCTGTGGTTTTGTATTCCATTGTCTAACAGTTCCCCTTTGTTTGTTCATTCCAAAAAACGATAACCTAAATTGAAATCCTTCCTTTGTTCATTTGTAGGGCGAAGACGAATACTAATATTTGGAACTCCAGACCAATTTCTCGACATCTCTGAGCATGAATCTGAAGGGTTTGTGCAGTTCATTTTTCAATAGAGGCAGTATCCTGCATCTTCTGGATGCAATCACGTCAAAACAGCTGACACTTGTTTACTTCCGGGTTCTTAAAATTGCGGGTGTGCCTTTATTCTGAAGCCCCCATGTGACTATGAATATTGTCTCTCAAGGCTACACATTGTCCACACAAGAAATTCTTACATCATGCGGCTCTTCAAGTAGACTATAAATAATGTTTCACTTTGCTATTCTACTTATGTTACACTGAGCTTTTAAAAAACACTACACACTTGTATAACCACATGCAGTAATGTTATTGAATTGTGGTCCCAGACGGCCGTGTATTAGGTCATGGATATAGAGCGAGAAGTGTTCAGCGTGAACAAAATGGTGACCAAATATTGAGTAACTTATCATCAAACATATAATGGTTTTGTGGGTGTAAACCAAAGAGGAGGGTTTAACATTTTGTCCATCACTTCAGTGCAGGCTGAATCAGATTGATTGCCGTGATATTTTGATAGATTGGTGGGAAAACATGGTCTATAATTAAAATGTGGATAAGTCATTGTGGCAAATGATCAGGTGGCCTTAAAGAAAATTTAAAATACATTTCAGAAGACAAATGTATGGAATGCTGTAAATTGCCTTTAACTTGACAACGGCAATACTATATGATCCATATGTTCATGTTTAATTGTAACTGTTAAGCACACAACATTGCAATTAAAATCAGGAGCCAAAGCTTTTTTTATGCTTTCAGTAAATGGAAATTGGTCAGATTTTACCAGTTGCTTGTGTCTGCCCTTTCTCTAACATTGTTTTTTTTGCTTCCAGCTTAGTCTGAAAATAACCCTTGATTTTTAAAAATGTTTTTTGTAACCTGGCAACAGTAGTCAAGTGGAAAAGTGTCTGATGCTTTCCTTGCCAATTGATGCTCTTTTCCTCATTCGCTTTCCCATTCACTCTTACAGCATGTCTGATTGGGATGGAAATCTGATGTTAAATCACATTTTTGATTGCATAAGAAGAACATTATGTTCCTAGATAATAGGAAAAAATTACTACAATTATTGATTTGCCCCGGACCCCACGTACATTGCCCCAGATCCCAGGTCTATCGCCCCAGGCCCATCGCCCATGCCCAAGGTCCATCGCCCCAGACTCCAGGTCCATCGCCCCAAGCCCCATTTCCATCGACTCAGACATCAGGTCCATCATCACAAGCCCCATTTCCATCGCCCCAGACCTCAGGTTCATCGCCCCAAGCCTCATCTCTATCGCCTCAGACCTCAGAACCATGGCCCCAGGCCCCTCTTCCATCGCTCCAGACCCCACGTTGCCCCACACCCAGGATCCATCGCGCCAGACCTCAGGTCCATCGCCCAAGGCCCCAGGTGCATCGCCCCAAGCACCAGGTCCATCACCCCAGACCTCAGGTCCATTGCCCAAAGCCCCAGGTCCATCGCCCCAAGCACCAGGTCCATCGCCCCAGACAGCAGCTCCATCGCCCCAAACCCCATGTCCATCGCCTCAGACGTTAAGTCCATCGCCCCAATCTCCATTTCCATCGCTCCAGACCTTAGGTCCATCGCCCCAGGCTCCACGTACGTTGCCCCACACCCTATGTCCATCGCCCCGGACCTCAGGTCCATCGCCCCAATCCCCGGATTCATCTCCCAAGGACTGAGGTCCATCGGCACAAGCCCCATACAGGATGCAATTGTTATGTATACATATATAATCAAATATGTTTTCATCAAATCAATAATGTTTTTAAATGTAAATATTTACATTTACATGTGGTCACCTAGAACATTTGTACCACCATATGAACAATAACTTGCTAAATAGATGTGTAGGCGGTGACTGTTCACATGAATTTGTGTAAAGAAAAAAAAAAAGCTGTTAATGGGGATAATCAAAATCAGGGGGTGTCGTTTTTCCCGGATATTTTTAATTTTGTCAAAAGAACATTGGCTTATTGAATCATGCTCAACTCACATCCTGTGATGTGCGTAACGTTTTCAAAGGGCGGTTGAGGGGAAAAAAATGTACACCTGCGTCTTGAATGGTCTCTTCCACTATTCTGCAAGCCTCCCCTGAATGAGTCATCCAGCGAGCTCCTCATTGGATGGGACCGAGCCATCCCAAGGGATTGCCTTGCAGAGGCAGAAAGGCCATGCTTCCATTCACAGAAACATTGGTATGCCAGCCTGCTATTTCATTCACATAAAAGACTAAATATTGCATGCGTTTTGTCCTCTGTTCTTCACCTCCTTCGTCTTTTAACGTCCTATTTTGATTTGCAAGGACTCTGCAAGGAGTGTTTTTTTCTGAGGGAAGGCAGACGTGCTCTCTTTTTTTCTGCTTCTTTTTTTTTCTATATTTGCCAGGCAGGAGAAAAGAGATGTTGGGAGGGACTGCAGTGCGAAATCTGCAGCAGAGTGAGAGCGGAAGCTGCTTATGAATGAGTGGCAGTCTTTCGGCTTTGCTAGATGCTCCTGAGGACATTTTACATGAATGGTGTCTGGCTGTGTGCTTTCCGTTACCGGGCGAGACAAAGATGCTTCTTTGCTGCTGTTCTGAGGAGACTCGTGGGCCTTTTTTTCTATCCTTTCGGTTGTTTCATTGAGTCCTCTGCCTGAGAAACATGTTGTTCGCACTGTTTTTTTCTCCAGTCGTGTCATTTATGTATTTCAAGCTGAACCAATTGCTGGGTGTATTAGACAAGCTGTGAGGTTGAATCTGCATCCTTTTCGTAAAAACGTTTTTGTTCCTTTGTCCCAGAATACTGAATTGGAGCCTCTCATTATAGACGAGTGGTGGTGTAAACTATTTTATTGGAAAAAGGCTTTTCATTTTTGTATCAATTCCTGGTATATAACTAAGGGTTGATATTCTGCAGCCATTATGAATGAACATGGACAATATATTTTCCAATAATTCCGGTCACACTATCATTTTACTGTATTGTTGCGTTCAATGACTGATTAATGGTCATTTTTGTTGCATTGATTTAGCAAAACTTAAATCTTAATGATTGATCAATTAAATGGAGATTTTATTCTTTATTCTTCCTTATTTACACAGGGTTGTGCCTATGAATTAAATAGAAACTAGTTTTCATTATTAATGTAAATCTGACACTTTTTTTGTTTCCTTTTTCAAAAAAAGAAATCCAAACAGATTATTCTGGATTAAGTTACTAAATGAATAAATCAAGCTTCCTCTCAATCTTTTCCTTTTCTCAGAAGCAAGGAATTAAAGCGAATAAATATGAGACTGGGGAATTTAGAAATTGATTGGTTCTAGTGTGCTGTAAGTGGGAGGGTTTAGGTTGCTACCCCCCCCCCCCCCCCCCTCCCTCCGACAGGAAGTGATTTGCAGTGTTCAGCAAGCCTTTTGTTGAGAAGGTTTTCTCAGATCAGTGAGTCATGCTTTAGCTCCGAGCCGGCAGGCAGCGGAGAGTATTCGCCTTTTCCTTTTGCAGTAGCTGCGTTCGTCGACACCGTAGAACATTCTCCCCTCTTACTGTTCGGATTTTCACGGCTAGAAATCGTCCTCCATCATCATCAGCATCAGCATCAACAGCAGCAGCACCGCTGGAATCTAAACCAGCTGCACCACAACACTGGGAGCCTTTCCCCCCCCCCACTCCATCCTCTTCTCGGCGGCGTTTTGTGTCCGTTTTTTTTACCACGTGACGGACTGGACCTGCGGCTCTGCATTTGGGAGTAGATTGGACGTTTGGCATCGGCAGCAGCAGCAGCTCAACACGACCGCCGCTGTAAACCTCCATAGAGGGAAATTCAGGCGCTCGCCGCCTGCGCCTCCGCTGCCATGTTCCAGGAGAGCGCACGCGGCGCAGCGCAGCCGCGTCTGCCGGCGCACCTGTGAACGCGGCGGGCTGCGCGTGTCGGTTGGTGGGGAGAGCGAGAGAGAGAGAGAGAGAGAGAGAAGGGTATGCTTCACCGTACCAAATACAACCGCTTCAGGAACGAGTCGGTAACCTCCGTCGATGAGCTTCTGCACGGCCTGTCCATGAACCCCAAGGTCTCGGCCACCCCGCAGTCAGCAGCCGAGACATCTTACACGCCCCCGACTGAGGTCCAGCCCTCCGCCGCCGCCGCCTGCAGCATCTCCACCGGCCACGGCTCCGACCACCTGGAAGATGGAGGCACCACCCTGTGCACGCTCATCAACAAGGTGTCAGGCCTGAAGTTCAGCAACTCGGGCAGCCTGCTGGGCATCAAGGGTCTGCCCTCGGCTGTCAAGGACCTGGCCGCGTCTAAACTGCAGGGGGGTGGAGGATTGGGCTCAGGCGGTGGCGGTGGTGGTGGTGGTGGCGTGCCGGCGGCGGCCACCTCCGGTGTGGGCGGCTCTCTGTGCAGCTCGGCCTCCCATTCGACCCCCTGCTCGCAGCTGGAGCCCGCCGTCAGCATGAGCAAGAAGAGCCGGCTGGACGAGCTCCCGCCCGGCGGGGAGGACTGGAACCCGGGCGGCGGAGGTGGAGGACTGGTGATCAAACCCTCCAGAGGATGGCTACACTCCAGCGAGAAGATCTCTGGGCCAGGAGTGACATACGTCGTGAAGGTTGGTAGTCTCATTTCCGCTTTTTGTGCTCTTCTCTCCCATTCTCCAATTTCTTTCAATGACTCGAGCGCAGCCGCATGCAGGAAAAAGAGTGATGATGATAGTTTCAGGTGAAATGTTTTATTGGCAAAGAACAACGTGCCCTTGAGTGGGTGTATGCAGGCTGGCTACAGCAAACGGTGCAGCGGCAACCAGAAAAGACATGGAATAATTCAAGTAATACACAGGCTGAGCCAAGGTAGAAGGTAAAAATGGGAATTATCCCAGTGTAAACATCTCAATTCATACGGTCTTGTCTGTATGTGAACCCACGGCGTTATGCTCTTGTAACCATGGTGATGCGTTATTCTGCTCTTCGGCTGTTTTCGGCTGTTTCCAGACGGAGGGACACAGTCTCGTTGCTGCCGTATCTCATGTTGCTTAGTATGAGATCCGTTAGAACGTCAATGTTCTTCAGCCGTCATACATCATCTAAAGCAGCACAAATAAGAGCGCCGTGTGGGCAATGAGTCACTAGCACGAGCAGTGATGATGCTGAGCCGCGGCGCGCCAAGGTGTAAAGTGAATGAAGAAATGGAGCGAACCATTTTCACTGAGAGTTGATGCAGCACGTTAAACCAAAAGGTGTTTGTTTTTGTGTTTTTGGATGGCTCGGTGACGCGTTGTATCCCAAATCAAGTTACACGGTGTGATGGCCATCATGTGACACCTACACTACAGCTCGCCACGAGCAAAGCCTCGAGTCTCTGTGACCGGCGTGACGTTCCATTAACCGCATTAAGCACGGCCGCGCTCATTTGTCCAGTCAATGCTGCTGAAAGCATCCACACCGAGAGGGGAAATGGGTCCGGTCGGTGCTCCCCCGCCCTCTGCGCTTCCCGTGGTTTGAGGTCCTCTGTGTATTCCGTTCAATGTGGTGTTATGCTCACAGCACTTTTAATCAGCGTCATGTGGTCACTCCCCGTGCGCCATGCACCGTTACTCTAAAGGGACATTGATTGATTGACAGGGACACTTTTACTCTCACTTTTTGTCCATTTCAACAAGGACTAAAAAACCCAAACGATAAAGGCCGTATTTTTGCCTCCGTTTTAGTATATCGGGTTTATTCGCTTCTCGTGTTCCTCGTCTTTGTGCTGTAGGTATTTTTCATTCTATTGAACATTTATTAATACTTGTTGCATTAACCTTTTAGCCTGGAGGTATTTAAGGATAAGTGCTGTCCTTTTGACCTGGCATATCCTGTCTAGACTGTACACAACTGGACTGTGTAATATGGCCAAACATTTTATCACATGAGTGCAATTCGATAATGTGAAAGCCAAAATGTTTAAATCCACATTATGGATATAATATCTGCCTTTTTCCAGGTGTTTTTGCTCTCAAGTGTGTAAGCGTCTGCAGTTTTTCCAGTCCGTGTTTAAGGGTTGTCCACTGGGATCGGTGATGGCCTTTTAAGAACTGGCTTCCCATTGACATCCATAATTCATTTAAGTCCTCAGTGTGTGAACCGTGTCCTCGTTTGTTGTGCATCACGAGAGGAAAAACATGTTGTGCTCATAATGGGTCCGTACCAATTTTAGAATCGTTGTATATATTTTTGGCCCTGCTGAATGGTGCACTTCAAACTCTGTTTCCGAAAATAGATTACAAAAAAAAACCGTCGTGCTCACAAAGCGCTCACTGGAAAGAAGGGGCCTCATCATCAGAATTATGATTCCAATAACTGTTCTTTCTGAAAAGGACTAGAAATGAAAACATTGTTTCTGGATGCATGTTTTATTTACAACCATATTATGAATGTCGTGTCAGGACCTCGTCAGCGTAACGTCTCCTCGGTCTGTGCAATATTAATCCGAGGAGGTGCTGTAATGTGAGTAAGTGGCTGGGAGGAGGTTTTTTATATTTAACTGGGACTGCAGTCGCTCCTCGTGGTTAAGCGACACGCTGATCCAACTGGAAAGTAGCGAACCATGATACTCGTCAAATACGGGGTCGGATGAAAGCATCATAAGTGAAGCTTCCAGATTAATACCCAGATGCAACAAATCACAGAGTCGGTAACAAAACACGGCTCCATCGTTCTTCTTGTCGTCAAAAACACCAACTGCATTAGTCTAGTAAGCTTTTTCCTTCCTGGAGGAAGATTTTACGTTTTACGTGATTTTGTACGACGTAAAGGACTGCACGTATTTGGACATTGAGTCTGGATTAGCGATGCACACAAATCAGGCGTTTTTTTTCTGTGCAAGATAATGTGCTTATTACCAATGTAACTTCTAACATTTGTTTCTTCCCAGTATCTGGGCTGTATAGAAGTCCTTTGCTCGATGAGATCTCTGGATTTCACCACAAGATCACAAATTACTAGGTATGGCCGCACTTGTTGTTCTGACTTTTCATGATTCACTTCATTCTTTTATCCATAACAAATCCCAGAAAATCCGTTATTATGCCATTAGATACTGATGTCTGGTATTGTTTATACACAAACAAAACCATATTACTTAAAATCCATGGTATGTATAAAATGTACAGGGATTTCAGTGACTGAGCCGATAGTGGAAACAGAAACAGCAATTTGCTTTAAATGTACATTTTTGGTTTATTCTAATTTGTTTGCATGGAAATTTCTTTGACTCCATCTTTGAAATCATTGACCCACGTGCAGCCAGACAAAGGCCAACCGTGGATCTGTCTGTCACGTCCACTTTTATGCTTGACTTCCTGAAGTCAGGACTGAGTAGCGTTAGCCGGCTGAGCCACACAGCGGCAGCCCCTCTGGCTCAGACCGCGTGTGTCTGGTTCTGTTTACCTCTAATAAAGAGAGATCCAGACGAAGAGATGCTACGTCTCATGATATTACTTTCATCAGATTTTTCCTCACTTAAGAACCTACTGCTGTGCGTGAGTTATCCGCCTTAAGAGGATACAGAAACATTTCTTTTCACTTCTTCTCTGGGGGAATTTGACTTTTTTTCTGCATCGAGCAGCTTTATCTTTAGCCACTGTGTAATATAGTGTATACAAGATACGGTTGCTGTTGTTTTAAAGAGGCGCTGGGCATTCGTAACAATCCCTACGGCACCATATAAAACGCGCTACACTGGATATTGAATGTTTACTCGGGTCTCTTGTGGCCAAGCTGATTTCCTTTTATGTGCAGCAACCTGCGGAGTTCAGACTAATAATTCAGCAGAAAAAATACAAAGAACTGAATTATTGGATTACGGGGGAGAAACAACTAAACTAAAAACCAAACCATCTCATATCCTTATACAAATCATTCGTCTAAATCTGCTACAATCAGCTGTCCTCTGTAATGATTTCTCACTGGTTGCCTTTGAAATGCTCGACCTGTTCAACTGCTAAACATCAGAATATGCCACTGTAAGCTTAATGCCCTTTGGTAGCCACTAGAATGGCTCTAAGTGCTTCCTCCCAAGATAACAACATCAAAATGTTCTTTGCAAAGTACATAATCATGAGTAGAAACTGTCATTTAAAAAAACAAAACAAGAAATGCATTATTTTTTTTTTTTTCTGCGGTCACCATCTTTGCTTCACCGTCCTCTCGTCGTCCCTCCAGGGAAGCCATCAGCCTGGTGTGTGAGGCTGTTCCAGGGACCAAAGGAGCTCTGCGGAAGAGAAAGGTACAGGAAAACGGCATTAGATATTAATTTACCATTCCACATCTATTTATAGCTCTCTCTCTCTCTCTCTCTCTCTCTCTCTCTCTCTCTCTCTCTGCAGAGAGAGAACTACGTGGGCGTAGCTCTAGCCCACGATGCATTGCACAGTGCTTAGTGACTCATGTAGTGCACAATATCTGATCGGGAGGCTGAGCCTAGTGTGCTTGTGTGCGAGTGCCGGTCTTACCCGTGCATGTACATGTACATGGAGGGGGAGGTGACGGTCTTAATGTGGGGTGTGAGATGAAGCATTACGCCGCTCTCCATAGCTTGTTCAGATGTCAGGGAGAGTATATAACAAAATTGGCGCTCCCTAGTGTCTCTCCCAGAAAAGATGTAAGATATGAATGTTGCGTTGGCTGTGTGACATCAGCTTCATACTGAGCATTTGGAATGGCTTGTCTCTTCTTCAAGAGCATCGCTCACATAATTTGTAGGAAAAGGCAAAACATCTTCTATCTTCTGTAGTTCTGTACTTACAGGACTTTATGTGCTGGACAATATCGTGGTCAGTCAGTTTTTGATGAACTTGGCAAAAAAGCAAATTGTGGGCAATAAGTTTTGTTTCTTTGTCTTCCTCTCAGCCGCCGTCAAAAGCCCTGTCCAGCATCCTGGGGAAGAGCAACCTGCAGTTTGCTGGCATGTCAATCAACCTAAATATCTCCACCAGTAGCCTGAACCTGATGACCCCCGACTGCAAACAGGTCAGCGTGCAGCCTTTGCAAACAATAGGATTCTATTGTTTGCGCTCATGTGATGGAAACAGATCTTACTATGTAATGTACAAATAATACTGCAATACCAACCTACTTGTCTAACTCCTAAATACCTCCGATATGTTTCCCTCTCAGCGCCTAAAATACCGGCTCTTATCTCTCATTTAATTAGCAATAGAGGGCAAAGAAGTTCTGATATTTGTTTGAAACTTTGCGCGTGGTGCATGCAAAGAGGCATTTGTAATGTTGTTTACGTGCTGCATGAATTTGTTCTCGACAGATCATAGCCAACCATCACATGCAGTCCATCTCCTTTGCATCAGGTGGAGACCCTGTAAGTATCTCGATGACCTGTGGCATGTTTATATTCGTCTTGTGATAACTAAAAACTACTTAATCATCAAAACGTTTTGATGATCAAAAACCAGGAGATAAAAGTTATGGTATTTTGTTTTTTAGGACACAACAGATTTTGTTGCCTATGTAGCAAAGGACCCCGTTAATAGAAGAGGTGAGAGTTCATTCCTTCGATAGTCTAAAGAGCATCCAACACGCAACATGCTCATTACAGTATTTTGCCCCCGCCCCCTTTAGCGTGTCACATCCTGGAGTGCTCTGACGGACTGGCCCAGGACGTCATCAGAACCATCGGCCAGGCCTTTGACCTTCGCTTCCAGCAGTACCTGCAGTGTCCGTCAGGCAAACTCTCCTCCACACACGACAGGTGTGGTTTTAAATGCACCCTCACAAATGTACACACACACACACACACACACACACACACAGCTTTGAGTTTCAACGATGAAACAATGTTGATTCGCAGGGTGTTGAACATGGAGGAGTTGCCATGGACCGAGGAAGAGGAGGAGTCGGCAGAACATCCTTACTACAACAACATCCCTGGCAAGATGCCCCCCCCCGGAGGCTTCATAGACACCCGGCTGACCACTCAGAATGCGGCGGCGGATGGATGCGGGGTACAACTCTGTTCATGTGGAGTCATCTCAGCAATATGAGCTTTAGTATTGATGTGGTAGTCTTTCAATAACAATTCATGTTGAGAATCTATTTTCCGAAGTATCAAATCCTGGTTTCCTCGCCCGTGTTTTTGCCTTCAGATGGGCCCGTGCTCAGTAGATCAGACGTATTACCAAGGCCGGCACTGTGGAGAGAACTGGGGAGACGAAAGAAAGGTCATATTCATACAGCAGGGTAAGAAAACACAAGCTTTTCCCTCCACTTCAACACACGAGATTATTTCTTTTTTTTTAAACACACTGTGGCTTTCTTTCCCCAAATGTCTACTGCAGGATCATTTGACATTAGCGGTCTGCCTGAGAGTAAAGGTCAGGCCCCGAAGACGGGCGAGATGCCGGCGTACGTGAACACTCAGCAGATCGACGCCCAGGTGCTCGCGGCGCTCCAGGCCGAGGCGGAACACGTGACTAAGGGAATGGCAGCTGCCGCCAAAGAGTGCCCGCAGAAGGACCTGTTTGACATGAGTAAGTCCGGCTTCCTGCAGATTGTGATTCAGCGAAACCCGCGCGGTGCTTTCAGAACCACGCGGTAACGCAACCGACCCGGAGTTTCTCGATGATAAGAGAATTCTTTTTGTGTCTCGTTGACGTGGGCTTGTGCGTTAATAACACCATTTCAGTACCAGCACAATGGGGGGGGGGAGTGCTGGTGTCAGTGCACAGCTATATTCTTTCCTCCTTTCAACCTACACCTTAGCTTCGCATTGTGCACCAGAGCGAGCAGTGAGCTATTCTAAACTGTTCTGGTGTGACGTCGCGAGTGCCGGCGTCATCGTCCGCCTCCTGCAGCGCCGCGAGCCGTCACGTTCTTCTTTGTTCCTCCACTAACAAGCCACAGTATTCGTGTGACTGAAAATCATAACTTGTTCAAGTGGGATTTAGACTAAACGCTAAACACAATGGGGGGGGGCGAAATTCTGTCAATCAATTTGTAAAGTTACTGAATAAGTAATTCATTTTAGAGCCTTTTTTAGGTTATTGAAGAAACCCAGTGTACCTTTTAGCAAAGTAGAGGTGTATTTTCATATTCAGCATCATCGTCTGCTCGCTTTTGATGAATCTCTCCTTGAGTGGCTGTGCTTTGTATTTCATGCTCTTTCTTCCCTTTATGTATCTTTTTACATAATGCCGCTCAACCGCCACCGCAGTGTCATCGCCGACTTCATTGTGTTCGGCTAAAACAGTAGAACTAGATACTGATTCATGATGTCTTTAATCTGGAGTATTTGTTTTAAGTACAATGTATATGCGTAAAAAATGAAGTAGTTTATTTTCAGTTCCTCTTTTTACTATCATGTTTTGAAAGGAAAGCCAATCATGTTGCCATAATGCAAATAGTGTTTAATAGGACTATTTATTTTAAAAACTGCCAGCATTACTATTTTTTCTAAAACGCTGTGTTTCTCGCCTCATTACTGCCCCCTATCAGTCGGTGGAATAGTGTAAAATAAAGATATACGTGAAATGGATTATACCACAATCCTTCTAATTCCTCATTCTTCCTTTGCCTCCGCCTGTACCAGAGCCCTTCGAGGATGCCATCCAGTCCCAGTCCCATCCGCCGTCCCAGCCGCAGGTCGCCGCCATCCACAAGACGGCGTCCGTGGACAACTGCAGCCCGCTCCTCGCGCGCTCGGTGGCCTTCCGGGCTCAGGAGGAGCTGCAGGGCCAGATGTGGTACCACGGCCAGATGAGCCGCCGCGACGCCGAAAAACTGCTGAAAGAAGACGGCGACTTCCTGGTTCGCACGAGCACGACCAACCCGGGGTCCGACGTGCTGACGGGCATGCACAACGGACTGGCCAAGCACCTGCTGCTGGTGGACCCCGAGGGCACGGTAAGGGCCCGTAGAGCGTGTTTCAGGGACACACTGTAGAATGAAACTCAACTCTGCTTCAATGAAACACCTTATTAGGCCACAGCGTGACATTTAACTTTTTCTTTTTTTTTAAAAGGTACGGACAAAAGACCATATATTTGACAGCATTAGCCATCTTATTGGCCATCACCGTGACAACAATCTGCCAATCGTGTCAGCCGGGAGTGAACTGTGTCTCCTGCAGCCTGTTGGAAGGAAACAATGATGACTGCTGGGAAACGGGAAGCTGTGAACAGTCTCTGCGGCCGTCCTGAAACACAGACGGGAGATGCTGGAAGGCTCGATGCGCTGACAGTGTTGTTGGGAAATTGGCCCGTGGTGATTTACTGGAAGACGCATTTGTTAAAGATGAAAAAAACAAAACAAATATTTATAGAACTGTTATTATTTTGTCGTGATGAATGAAATGCTATATTTTTGAGAAGACATACGTGCGTTGGGACACAATAGCTTGATTTGGTGTTTTAAAAGATGAAAAAAAGGTCATTGTTCTTGTAGTTTAGATGAAGTGCAAATCGAACCTGCAAGCGGCGTCAAGAAGGGTATTTTAGAATAAAAATCGGAAACTTTACTTTTGTCTGTCAAGCACAACCACATTTCTACAGGCAATGAAGAAGTTGAGAGAAAAGAAAAACAAATGGTGTTTATAATAAATCAATGCATTTGACGGCTCACTCAAATGTCACTATATGAAATCTGCTTTTACTTGGGAAACTGAATGTGTTTTGCGTTGCAGTAGTCAGTGTGTTGGGGTGCAAACGGACATCCTTCATAGTGCTGTCAATGGCTTTAAGAAACTTTTTTTAATGAAGTATTTTCTCGTGTCACTGCGGTCGCATGACTTAAAATCAACTGTTCTCGTGGACGTTGTTCGTAGACCTGGATACCTCTTTATTTGGAAGAGGTGCTTGTTTATGCTGACACTGTAAAAAAAAAATATTTATGCTTTTAAACCAGTGATTATTTCTGAATTGGTTTTCTCTGGATTCTTCTTTAAGGTGTGTAGTAAAATGATTAGTTTCTGGCGGGTTTGTGTCATGCAAATGGTTCCTCTCACATTCTTAATTAGCTTTTTAAAAGTCATTCCAATGACCACAAACGAATAGCACAATCAGAAAGTCCGATCACCCGTGTCCGTTGTATCAAGATGAATTATCAATGTGGTGAGATGTAATTAACACTTTTACTTAAGAGGTTGAACTAGACAAACACACAGTGTGCACTTGCTATACGAATGTTTAATATTGAATCACCTTCACTTTTATGTTTTCTTGGTGTGCTGAGACTACTTCTGCGCCACTCCATGTCCTCACAGAAATACTTGTTCACGCCTGACCGTCCCACTCACTGGATTATCTCGTGTCTTCACTTATCAGTAGCAAACGATGCCGGCTTTGTATTCCTTTAAGTACAGCACATAGGGAATACATTATTGCCCGAGAGGTCAGAGATCATTTGCAGTTCACTGTACACAATCCATTCCTCGCAAACAGTATACTGCAATTAGTGCTCTACCTTTTCTGTAGAGCGCGAGTGAAACATTTGAAACGGCGACTTTTAAAATGCTCTCATCCTCACTGTTGTCAGTACTTTGATGGATACCAAATGAATGGGGCATTGTGTTTGATATGCACTGGACCACTTCAATTGAACCAAAATCAGCATGTGTTCGATGAGTTTGACAAGACAGATGCAATGTAATATAAGGTGCCTGTATTTTGCTGCAAGAGGGAGTGTACAGTACATGCATCTCACAGGTTTTAGCACAGCGCAGTAATCTGGATGGTTGTGAAATCATCCACCGCCAGTTTAGTTTTGATTTAAGCCAATAACGCTATCCTTGATTCCTTGTCCCTTTTGAGCGAACGAACAAGAAGAAAAGGGCACAAATAATCATTGATTTCATTTTCCCTTTTTTTCCTTTTTTCTACCGTAATCCAATCAGAATTTATAGTCTAATTCCATGTGACATAATTTCATCAAATCTAATATCTTGGGAGAATAAATTATTTCCTAATTGCTAATATTAACAATTATTCTGAGACCAATTTTTAGAATTACCTTGGTAAAATGTGAAAGGTCTTGAACATAGGATATATATATACATATATATATATATATATACATATATATATATATGGAACAAGTACATCCTTGAATCTCTCTGATAAAGTGATAATTAACTGTGTGTCGAAGAGAAATTACACAACCAAACACGATGGGACACGAAAAAGAACATGGCTTCTTTACAGATTTCTTTTGATGAAAATGTGCCTTTTATTTGTACAAATGGTATTTTTATTTCTCTTTAAAGTGCAATAGCTGATCTTCGATGGGGCATGCCTGTTCACTAGAGGTTGTGTTTTGCCCTGCTGCGTGTTGCCTGCTTGAGACTACCGTTTTCTCTCTCTGTCTCCCTGACTCTCTCCCTCCCCCTCCCTCCCTCCCTCCCTCTCTATTATATATTAATAAATGTATCATTTCCAGATTCTAAATATAAATCTTTGTCGGAGGGGAGTCACAAAGAAACTCACTATTTTGGAACAGGTATCGTTAAAAAAGGAAATAAAAACGAAAAATGTCCAAATGATGTTTACAGATTTAATCTTTTGGTTGTATGGTTTTATCATTATTCTGTATGACCGTTTGCAATAAAACCGTGAATGTGTAGAATCTGTTGCATCTGCTGTAATAATGTAATAATATTTCAGTTTCTGGTAGGTTAGCCGTAGGGTCATCACAGCTTCCTCTAAATCTTCAAAGAAGTCGTCAAAAACATGTTTTCTGACTGACTTACTGACATATTTTGCTGATATTTTTTGAGAAAGGGATTTGGAACCTTTAAAACAATTACTACAAAACAATTACAGAACACTACAGAAGAGTTTCAAAACAGAAAACAGCAAAATGTGTTTGTGTGGCGGAATGAGAAGGACAGTGTGCATGACGAGGACAGAAACACATGAGGTTTATTGTGTAACGCTAGTTTTTATACATCACAGCGATGGCTGCATGTACAGTGTAAACCTCCACCTCACATGCTGCATTCACGTGCCTCTTCCCTCGCCGGCTTCGTGCCCTCGGTGGTTGATTGTGTTGACTTCTGCTCACAACGACTTCGTTTAGGTAATAAAATGGGTATCGAAGAGATTCTGTACTTATCATGCAGCATGTGATAAAACCGTATTTAGTTGTATTCAGCATTGAGGATATTAACCAGCAGATGGAGCCCCGGTGTCGTAGTTGTAGTTTTTTTTATAAACAAGCAGCTGCTCACATAAGCCACGTATAATACAGCTGTTATTACAGCAACAGCACAGAATTTTGGAGTAAATACAATGTTACAGGATAGACTTCATAGAATAATAAATAACCAATTGTTGTTACAGTCATTTCTTGTATACGTTCTTCATTACATGATGTTGCAGGACATTTTTCATGTCACATCTGGTGTGTTTCTGTCCTTTTCTTTGGAGGTTAAGATCAGGAGCGAGTAAAACAGCCCTGTGACACTGCGTCTCTTTAACACAACACTGTGTTTAGACGGTTTATCTCCTCAACCAAAGAGTTCATTGTTCAGTCAACTGCAAATCTGTAGGTACGCGCTTCTCACTGGGGAGGGATGAAATATTAGCCGCACAAAGAGGTGATATCGATTGTGCCGTCAAACATACAGGCCGAACACGGTACGATTCCAAGAGAGAACATTGTAATAGGCTTCCAGACTTTGGGTAGATCAGCATTCAAATCCCATTTTGTCATGTTAGGACCACCCTGAACCCTCCCCCCCCCCATCCTTCGTTCAGTCTTTCCTCTCCCCCTCCATGGCGGCATGACCCGCCCCTCCCGCCACCAGCGAGACCTCACCGTGCGACGTGTCCGTCTCCTTCCCCTCCTCCGCCTCGGCCTGCACGGAGCTCCCCCGGCCCTGGTTGGGGTTGTTCTGGCTGCTCCACGACTTGCTCCCTGCTGCGGCTGGGCTCCAGGGGCCGCCTGTTCCCGCCGACCTTGGCGGAGGCCTTCCCGCCGTAGCAAACGCCGCACGCCAGACCCAGGAAGGCCCGTCTCATCTCGCGGCTGGCCAGGGTGTAGATGACCGGGTTCATGGCCGAGTTGAGCACGGCCAGGCCGATGAACCAGTCGGCCTCGTAGAGGACGGGGCAGCTCCGCGCGCAGGCCACGTCCACCAGGAGCAGGACCAGGATGGGTGTCCAGCAGGCGATGAAGACCCCGACCACGATGGTGACGGTGCGCAGCAGGGACATGGCGTGCTCCGAGTTCCTGTTCTTGCTCACTTTTTGGCTGCTGGACTTGACCAGGATGTAGATGCGGGCGTAGAGCACCGACATGGCCACCAGCAGGACAATGAACACCGTGATGCAAAAAGCGACGTACTTCTTGGTGTAGAGAGGGAGCACTGTGGAGCAATCGGGGAGGTTGTCCAGGCAGTTCCAGCCGAGGATCGGCAGAGCCCCGAGAGATATAGCGATCAGCCAGCAGGCCCCTATCAGCAGAAACACCCGGTAGTTCTTACTGGCGTCGTAGGGCCTCATTTTGATCATAGTCAGGTGGCGCTCTATGGCAATGGCCAGGAGACTGAAAATGGAGGCGCAGAGTGCTACAAACATGCTTCCCTCTCGGACGAACCAGAGCGCGGGGGAGAGCTGCAGGGTCTTCTCCCCGGACAGGAGCAGGTTGACCAGGTAAGCCACTCCGGCCAGCGTGTCGCACAGCGCCAGGTTGCCGATGAAGAAGTACATGCGGTTGTGGAACCTGTGGTTTCTCCATATGGCCACCAGCACGGCGAGGTTCTCCAGGACGATGCAGCTGCATATGACGAGGAACACGACGGTTTTGGCGTCCACGGCGCCGGGGCTGGCGCCGATGGTCGGCCGGTGGTCCAGCCTCCCCGTGTAGTTGTAGTGGAGGTATATCTGAGGGTTGATCATCTTCAGAGCGCCGGCTGCTGACACTGGATGTCAGGGGTGAGCAAGGAGTCCAGTGTCAGCGGATCCACCGAGTGCAGCTGCTGGGGAAGATGTGAGGAGCCGAAGCCATGGTTCAGTTTATGACAAGCTCTATACAACAATATAGAAAGGTTTAGTTTGATCTTGTTCTAGCGGAATAATGAGTAATGATATGGAGGAGCAAATGCCTGCAGAAAAACCTTCAGCAAAACAGTCTAAAACCTTAAAATACAACGTAATACCGTTTTCCCCCCCAGATTAATTTTGCCAAAACTACAGGCGACATATTCCAAAATATGAGGTCCTCCAAAAACATCTCGACCTCCAGCAGAGTTTGGTTCGTGCGGAGCAGAACTTACCGCGGGCTGCTCGCGCTCACGGTTCAGGGAAACGCACGCTGAAGGGGTCGCGCATCTCAGGCGACGACTCTGCGTGCCGCCCCGCGGTTCCTCTCCCTCATCTCCCTCATCTCCCTCATCTCCCTCATCTCCCTCATCTCCCCCCGATCGCTCAGCTGCGGAGTCGATGTGGACGTTTCGGCTGGAAGTCACTCCCAGTGCCTCCTCCAGCCCGGGCAGGCAGAGCGAGGAGAGCGAGGGAGGGAGGGGGGGAGGGGGGGAGGGAGTCTGTGTCTTACATACATCTGGTAAATACGTCATACGTATCAAACAGAATGTACAATGAATATGGACATTCTACTACTTCTTCTTCTACTACATTCTACTACTAGTACTTATTTATTATTCAAGCAATTACAACAAAAGTGTCCACCAAACATATATGAATAAAAGTATAAATTCATATATGTTTGGTGGACACTTTTTTCTGTCATTTAGCTTAACATGGGTAAAGCTAAATTGGGCTTAATTTATCTTATGTTTACTTGATTTAAAGTATTTGGACTTTATTCCAGCTAGCAAGCATGTTACAAGATACAAATACAAATCCAGAAAATAGTACCGATGGATAGACAAAGCAAAGCCACTACTGAGACTATTCTAAAAATAAAAACACAGAATATAAGTGCAATACAGAGCTATCAGCGATACAGGCCGGCTTACACAGCACACATGGAGCCTGTAGTGTGTAAAGGCTTGTTTTCCTTTTTTTTTTTTTTTCTGGACAGGGATCAAAAAAAAAAGTGAAAGAGCGAGAATACAATAAACTGTGAGAGTTCAGCTTCGAATGACTGAAGCCCATCCTTTGTTCTGGTCCTTCGGGTTGTGACCTCATATCCAGGAAGGATGGGCAGGGCTGGCAGCGAGCAGAGGGACCGACCCGGAGAGTCTGAGAGGCACCGAGACACGATGATGACTCTGAAATAGATGTGACGTGAAGGAACCTACCCTGCACGTACGTTATAACTCAAAAGTAAAATGCTCTCTGGGAGAATAAAATGTATGTGACTCAAACTTTAAGAATCCTATTGATTCATATTAAACAGTCCGGCAAGTTTAGCTGCCCACCACCGTTCCCAGAAATAAGCACGCATTGTACTGTGTCACAGACCAAACCAGTCGATATCTCCCAGCGTCTGTGATTATTAACCCAGAGGAATGTCTCGTGTGGTAGAATAAACAGCCGAGGTCTGGCATTGGTCCATTGGCCTCGTTACTGTCACAATTCTCGGCCGTTTCCTGCGAGTCGCACTTTGCCAGCAGCATTGGGAAAAACTCTGGGGGAAAAAAAAAAGCCAAATAGCTACTCAGGACCCGCAGCAAATCTGGGACTAATCACATAGCGGGTCCATGTGGATTAACAGACCAGCAACAACGGGTGGAAAAACCTTGGGTTTTTCAGCAAACTACAGGGATGTGGCGCTCGCATCTGCATCAACATAAACTCTTGAGTCAAATGGGAAAACCTTCAGCAAAGTGCAAACCCATAATATGCGGTTAAAGTGAGTCTACGTCTGTGTGTATTCATGGACGACCGAAGGTGGAGGGTTTTCTCTGCAGGACCACCCTCACTACTTTGCGAGCAACCGCTTCTTTTGGTTGAAGTGAGGCCGAGTTTTCCCGTCATCTTCTCCAGGAGGACAGTAATTAAAGCTGTCTGTAGCTCCCTTTTTCCAGCCTCGGGATGCAGTAGTTCTCCCCTAAACCAGCGATGCCCTCTACGTGTGATTTCCTGCTATTATAATGCTATATTATTTAAGAATAAACCTACATGCTGCAACCCTTCATTTGGACAGCACTGTGCCATGAAGTTGTTTAGCCAGCTGCTGAAACCATTCCTGCAGGGAAAGTTTCCACTGCTCGGCCACAGCAGCTTGATACTCTCTGGAAGACACAGTCGCACGCTCTATTAAATACAAGCAGCCATCGCACACAAGTTAAAACTGTTAAATGTACTAGTTTGTGCAAGTGAATATTATTGTTATTATTCTATCAACATGCAATCAGCGGTTTAATGCTGCAGCTGGTCAAAGTGGAGCTATTGCTGCTGCTTATACAGTTCCATATTGTTATGCATCCTATTTCATAGGACAACCGTCCGCCTAAAGTGCCCAAAAGTTGCAATTACGTGCAGCAATGAATGAATGTGCATTGTTTGCTGTTGATTAAAACAAAATAAAATACAACATATTACGAATATGATCTATATGATCTATCTATACACGATGTACGCAAAGGATCTTCTTGCTGTCCGTAGATATAGACCCAAAGCATTCAACTCACTTCCTTCCAGGAGATGAATAAATAATAATATTTATTATTAATCATGCTGCAATATGAAAGCGGTGCTTACAAATCAGCACATCTAGAAAGTATCCTAACAACATCCATAAATGATCACAATGCAGTTCATGCGACCGGTGGCATAACAGCCTCTCATCCGAAAGCAGAGAACTTGTGGTTAAGTGAGAATAACGGGACGGTATAAAGCTAAGGGCCCTAGTGTGAGCACATTACGAGCACATTACAAAACTCAATGCAACCGCCGCTCTGCCAGGGTTTGCCTTGTGCGAGCTCTCGACCCTTTCAAAGCAGTTCTGGAGCAAAGGGGTCAAAGCCGTGGGCGGCGGGCACATCCACGTGCCAATTATACACCAGAACCCTGCCTTTAATTTCATCCCTCGCCATTTTGAGGCCAAACACACCGCGGGACTCTGGGCTATGAATCTGAGGCGCAGCGTCCACCCCCCCCCCCCCCCCCCCCACCCCCCCGCCCTGTGTTTTTTTGCGGCGGCGGTATTTCTAGGCACGGCGGTTTGTTGCATGCAACTCAACCAGACGTGACTTTGGAAACATTTCAGATCTGCCAACTTTAGAAGGCCACACGAACGGAAATAGGTACTTCAGCTCCGTCACTTCCTTTCGCTGGAGTACTTGGTGCTCGTACCTCTGGTTCTGGTTCTGACGTTATCGTGCATGTGCATATTTAATGGACAGGAAACACTGAGAGTGGAAAAAAAAAAAGCTAGAGGCCACAGTTTTTCTGTTTTAATTTAGTGGTTCCGTTTTTGTTGTGCTAGACACAGTGTCTGTGTTGAAGAAAGTTCCCCTTTTATTTGGAGTTATTAGCACCTTCGGGGAAGTGGTTCAGCTCACAACAGCTAAGAAAAGAGATTTTACTCAGAAGTTCATCTCATTCCAAGTGCAGCTGCTGGAATTTACGTGACCACCGTCCTAATGTTAAAACCGTTGTGCACCGATGAGCTGCCAGTCGCGCTGCTGCGACGCCGTTTTCTTTTAGTTGAGGGCCAATTGCGTTGGCGGTTAACGTGAGTGCGCAGCAACAGTCCATTGATCAGGAGCTCGGGCTCTTCTCCCTCAGGCCCATTAGTTCCACAGTGTACTGAGAGCTTGTTGTATTGATGTCCGGCAGGCAATGGTCAGCGGCTGATATACTGCTGAATGCATGGCTATTACATTACCGTTAGCCAGAGAGGAATCTGGAGTCCGTGGAGCCGAAAATATCAATGTCTGCCATGCATTATGTTTATTGATCACCAGCAACAACTCGTCTTGCCTTTTTCCTTAGTGCGTTGTTTAAAGTAAACACAACACAGTCTGTGAGGCAGAAAACAAACACGTCAGAGTTGGTATGAGGAAGCTGCAAAGCAAAATTATATTTTATATTCTTTTTTTTTTAAAAGAAACCTCTTTCTGTTTCATACAGTTTAGCAACGATTCAAGCGGCTCCACTTTGACCGTGTCGTGTAAACTTGAGGTGTCGTCAACGAAGCGAAAAATCAGTCACGAAACACTTGTTTTTACACCACAATACAATGGTGAAGACTGTTCACAATCTCCTATAACAAAAGCTTTTAAATGAATCGTGAAACCAAGATGAAACCAAGCAAGACCAATATTCCACGAGTTCAGCTCTCCCGTTGAAGGTGGGTAAATACATGGAAGTTTATTTGGCATTACAATATGATGCTTCTTTCATTGCTGTTTTCGTTCATTTGTTTGGCGCTATAACCATAAAGGCATATTTGAAATAACTTATTTCTTAAAATATTTAAACAACCGTAGTTCCGTGTAAACGCGTTTCGTGTCCACTGGACGCTGAGGTGTTTCCCTTAACAACGTCATGCACTATTTATTATCTTCATTTCTCCACATCTGCATCACAATAATGCTCAGAACCATATGTATTTTTCGTCGACGCTCAATCACACGACTAGTATGACTTAGGCCGCCTGTTCTCAAGAAAATCTTTGTTAACAGTTTGCTTCCTGTTGATGGAATCGATGACTGCTTCTGAGCCGGCAGGAAATTACTAAGATGCATACTGAGTGTACAGGAAACCATTACAGCAGCCCTGATTAAATATAGGTGTGCATTAGGTCCTCGATAAACTCCTGCAGGTGATGGATGCGCGTGCCAGATGCATGCATGCCAGCAGTGAGCCGGATCTATAGTTTCTCCTGAAATATAAAACCCTTTTGAGAACATGGAAGGAACACAAAGCATGAGGCGATGCGCAGGTTGGAGTGCACGGGTCAAAGAAAGGACAGGCTTTTTTTTAACACTTTGTACTTGTCTGCACTTTTCTGGTAAAAATGGTGACGAGGTCGTGCACAAAAACCTTCGGACGGTTTCGTTTCTCAGGTCACATTTCCCGCAGCGGGTCCTTGGTGTTGCTTTCAATTAATGGCTGAAGAGGTGAGAAAAGCTTTGTCAAATAATCAGTCTATAATTTGTAACTCGGTTTTCTGTTAACTTAAAACAATGTTGAGTAAATAAATAAAATGAGTGTGATTGTGTGCTAAACAAAGATAACATTGGTTTATGTGGTTTGGCCACTTATTACGGCTTCATCACGACATGGATAAAAATAAAAAATAGGAAACTGTGAAAGCAGAACCAGTCCTCATGGAAACATTCACTTAGTTGTGAAGGTGATGTTTCCATGTGAATAATACCGCGACAGTCTTTCACCAGAAGAGTGATAAATACATTTGGAGTGGCTTACATGGCAGCCAGCGAGCTATAAATGATTTCACATGTATCGAGATCATGTGACCAACCGTTGCTTTATCCGAGGCCCTTTGTTTTGAAGGCGTTTCCTCATCGGCCCCTCAGAAACTCCACAGAGAACATCAGACCCCGCTGCCTCCGGCCGTCCCTGTGCTCCCACTAGATGCATTGTCACACAGCTTCCTCAGAGGATATCCATTCGAAACGCTTTGTGTCTGCAAACATTAAGCACGCACACGTACGGAAACACACACACACACACACACACACTACCTGACCCAGCGTGGACCGTTGAGTGTACCGACATGGGCCTCAGAGAGTCATGAGGGTGGAAACGGAGAGAGGACAGCAGGTTAATGGGACAGGAAGAGACACCTCAGGAGCTTTGAGGTTCAGGAAATCACGTGCACACACACACACACACACACACACACACACACATTTGGACTCCAAGCTGCCAATTGAATGGTGATTCAAGCTACTGTATTGGGTTTGTACATCTGTCAACCTAAAGCCACGTCGCTGCTTTCTTTTTTACCTCAATTTTTAGTTTCATTCAACACCTCATTTTCACTCGAATTTTTCTTTAAAGTACCATGATGGTACCGCGGTTGATTGATCATAATGCACAGCGGGAAACACAGTAATGCGCCATGCATTGCATGCATGAAGAAGACGGCTCGGCTCAAGCAATGACCGCTGCAACCCGGCTGGTGTGTTTGGAGGAAGGGAGATTCCAAGCATGCTGGTGAGAAGCAATGAACGTGCACATGACCTTTGTTTGTGTGGTGGGGTCAGGAACGCAACCTTCCGTCTGGCTCCTCCCCCCCGACCAAACAGCCAATAGGTGGTTTCACTTAAAAAGCACCCGATGGCCTCAGTCATCATGTCATCAGTATTTCTTGGTGTAATTCCCCAGATGACGTCGTTGGTGATCTTTAAAGTCACCTTTAGTGTAATATAAAATCTGCCCTTCTTTTTAACAATATGTAGCGTGTGTATGATAAAACATTTGCTACCCAACAAAACTTGAAATTAAGAAATATAATTTGTAGGTAGACACAGAGGAACACTAACTCACAACTCATGAGAACCTCCAAAATATCTACACTGTAAACCCGAATTAGTTGACTTTACTCGCGAATTGCGTGGAAACCCGTTGCCCTGTCCCACTTTAGTTTTTGCACAAGCTGAAACTAGAAATGTTGCGTTGTATTAAAGTGGAACTGTAAGTTTTTACACAACCTGAAACTAAACATGTTGCAATGTATTAACGTGGAACTGTAAGTTTTTGCACAAGCTGAAACTAGAAATGTTGCGTTGTATTAATGTGGAACTGTAAGTTTTTACACAAGCTGAAACTAAACATGTTGCGTTGTATTAACGTGGAACCTTAACTTTAGTATTTATATTTATTAGTAGTGTGTACTCAAAATCATTAGATAAAACTAGCTATTATGACTTGTTATTGCTACTCATCATTTAACACAATTATTGTATTTTCCTCTAATTTAATTTGCTTTTGATTGGTTTTTAAATATGTTATTAAACATTGTTTCAATTAAATTGGATAAAAAAACAGAAACACCTGTAAATGCTCCAATGCATTTTACTTTTAAGAAAAATGGCCAAACACAGCTAATCACAAAAAGGATCTGTTTCATCTGCCTCAATGAAGGGAGGCCAGAGCCTGAACCAACAGACTATCATATCAGAACAATATCTAATTCCATCTACATAGACTGATGAAGAACTGAAATATGTATGTATGTATGTATGTATGTATGTATGTATGTATGTATCTATACAATGTCCTATGTCTTTCCGCTACAACTCCGCTCAGTTTAAATTGTCACACAAGTCACATCCTTTAGCACGCTTCCCACAAAATATGTGAATAGGTGTGTCAGTTTTGTTTGTGGGTGTTGTATGTGTCTGTGTGTGTGTGTCTGCGTTTTATGCGTCTGTTTGTCCACCTGTTTTACAGAAAATAAGAAGGTTTACCCCACAGGTAAGAAAAAAAAAATAGTCAACAGTTTCTTAAAGTAGACTTGACATCTCTTTACATTGCGAGCTGATTTTTCAAAAGTCTGTAGCTTTGGCTTTAGGTCAGTGTGGCCTAACAGGAGCAATACCTGTTGGATGAACTGAAATGTGAGCTTCATAGTCTTGGGGTAGTTAAGATGGAGTGCATACATGAGTCCAAACAGAATGCACATTGCTTTTGGCAGATCTTGAATGTTGTCCATCACGACTTCTCCCTCAATGATGATTTCCAACGAGGCTGGACTGAGATGCTGGGAAGATGTGAGCACTTTTTTGAGTAGCTAGCTAGCTAGTCTTAGCAATAAGCATGTATTAACACCATGCACAGGTTCAAACAATAACATTAGACGGAAATAAAAGCTGCGTCAAATTATCTGCAAGCTTTTTGGTATTAAACATTCCCACAAAGATACCTAGGCTACAATAGTTATTTTACATACTAACTATTCCACTTCGAGGTGGTAAGGTTGCTTTCTTGGATTCCATCTGCTGCCGATGCCTGTGCTCGTCCCGCCAAGTGAAGAGCCCCTTGGACGCACTTGGACGTTGGTCTGGTCACGTGACCAGGCAGCTTTTTGAATTAGCCCCTCCCCTTTCTTCCAAAAGTAAACATACCGAGTTATCTGTGCTAAAAATGATTAGTGCAATTAATTTTTCAGCTAATTAGTACAAACAACTAATGTTGTTTAGTAATGATAGCAGGTTTTTACTAAACATAAAAGAATAAGTAATGATCACTCGTAAGTTTAATTAGAAACAAAATCCGGGTTTACAGTGTATATATATTCTATTGTCAAACATTGCGTCTCATTTTATGTCCAATTCATTCTTGTCCAAAAAATAAAGTTAAACCTTTAGCTCCCCCCAGAGGGTAAAAAGCTGAATCGGGATGGAAGGAATGTGTCAAATAGGCAGTGAGATTTTATTTCGTTAATTAGCCACTCAGTGAAAAATAATTTAAAAGTGGTAAAAATAAATCCCCAGCAGTAGTTATTAAATATCCTTTTCTACCTTCTAATGAGATATTTGTTTGTCTCAATTCATCATCTGTCTCAGACAGTTTGTCGGCTTATTCTTTTTCCACAGTGTGTACCCATATGGACATATCATTTGGGATATATGTTTTAATATAAGGAAATGTAAAAAGGGACAGCTTATTGTCCACTAGAGGTCAGCCAAGCACAAACAGCCGAGTGCGCTACGGAACAAAGCCGATGAAATGAACAAAATAATGGCTCAGAAACCCTCACCTACTTTCTTTTGTTGACCTTGCATTAAACTCTCTTCCCAACAACGTAAAATATCAAAGCTACAAGGTGGACGTGATCTTACAGGTCTGAATGACTCTCAGCCGCATAATCACTTATATTCAACTATTTATGGTTCCAATGTCCTGGAACTTGTTCCTTCAATAACTTAAACAAATCTTAAAGATAATTGTTGCTGTAAATGTTCATAATATTAAAATAGGCTTCAATGCTTCCACTGCTCAACTTTTAGCAGTAATTCATTGCTTTTGACTCACTGCGCATTGATTGGATTTGATCAGACATATTTTATTTGATCACTCGTCCATTCGTCCGGACCTCACGCTCTCCTTGTGTTATCATTTCATACATAATCTTTGTGGCACAAATACAGTGTTGACCTCAGCAGAGATGTCAGCTGTGCAACCTCAACACTACAGTAAACAAATAATAATATACCTACCTGCTTACCCTGCAGCCGAGGAGCAAACTCCTTCCCTGCTCCCTGTGTGTGGGTGTGAACTAACACAGCAGAGTGGCAGGTGCTGTACAAACTTTACTTTTACAACTTTCTTGTGTAACTTCTTGTTCACATGCATTCTCCTACAGTCTCACCTCTTAAAATGGTATATAATAACGCAGTTAACCTTTAAGATAGCAATCCAATAACATTAAGACGTTAACTATGTTAATTTAGCTAATATACTGTAAGTCCTTAAAGGCCTAAATAACCAGCTAAGCCTCTGAGGGTTTCTGGCAGGGAGGTGATGCTAAGAGGCCAGTGATTGTATATCTTCATTATGTGGAACTTCTCACCCACAAATCAGAGGGGCTCATGACTGAGATCATTCATGTGGTCAGCGGTTGATGTAGGAAAAGGTTTTATGTTTATTAATTGTACCATCGTTTGGGCGCTCCGCTGTTTGGTTCGTATTGTCTAGACCCATCCAGAGGTGTGAATGCTGCATTAGTGTCCTCAAATTAAACATTGAATGAATGAAAATATACCAATGTCTCTCAGATTAATGTGAGCCATTAACATGTTCCAGTTAATTGAAATTATTTTTCATAGTTGTATAGAAACAAACAAACACTGGGTTCAATTTGACCCAATTTGATATAATAAAACAATTTGGTCACCAATTAGATCAATGACAATATTTGTTGCTGTTATTTTATTTAGTAATGGAATTGCTGTAAACTACTGTATTTGTATTATTTAGATAATCCATCTATATTTTATCCGCTTGTCATGATCCTGACTGAGAATGGATTATCTTGCTCTTTATCAAGGATTACAACTAAATACCCCGAACTTTAAAACCAGGATCCCCCCCAAGCAAGGCCTCAAAGATCTAAAAAATGACATCTCAAAGTGGTCCTCAAAAAGGCCGAACAATATATTCCCACGCAGAAGATTTGGTCATTTTAGGAAAAAGCACTCAGAAAGAAGAGCAAAGTTCAACATTTAGTGTCTTTATAAAACAGATTTGCAAAATATAGCCACGGCTCATTCATTTAAATATGCATAAATAGCAAGAAAATACTTTCCCATTTCAATTCAAATCATTCTTTACTTCTTTATACACAAATCAGAGATGAACGTTACATGAAAATCAACAGGGCTTAACCCAGCAGAGAAAACACGAGCATACTGTTCAGCTAAAGCGACGTTTGATTAGTCAGAAATGTACATCCTCCGAAGACACGTATTCATAAACATTATAACAAAGTCGTATTCAAGTCTGTGAAATATCAAAGTACACATCTTTGGATGGATGCCTTTGAGGATCAATATATATATACAAATATTTTTTTACATCAGCAACGCAACCGTAATTAACAACACCATGGCCAAAGGGGTTGTGTCTATGTACAGTAGTGCAGGCGAGGAGCTAAAATCAGAACAAGGCAGTGAAAGGCTAATTACACATTATCAAATGTCCTGATTTATTACACTTCAAGTGGGTTCCCTTTATTTTGGAATATCATTAAATAACAATGTCAGGGTCGAACAACCCGCAGGGCATGTGCCAGACTCAAATAAAACATTTTAATGTTTTTTGGTTTTAAAACACAACTATTCAAATAAAACTTGCTGTAATTTGTTTAGATGAAAGCTTATATATATTTATTTAAATTGTATTATATTTGTTTGTGTTAACCTCACTTCCCCTTTAAATTGGACTGCAATCGACCTTCTTCAAACGACGCATGTTTGACTATTTTCTTTTTACATGTAATCTTTTATTTCACATTCATCATACAGCACGCTAAGAATTGCACTTTGTCCTGCTCTGATTCTTATATTTTACTGCATATGAATACTTTCCAGTATAAAAGCCTCATCCCGTCTTGCTTCAGAGGACATTGTAGAATTGAGTTGGCTGGAAACATCGTAGATAAATAAAGCAAATATATATTTATATGATATGACAGCATTCCGATATGTGTTCCTCAATAGCCGTCTCAAACTGTTCGCCTCCTGTTAAATGCTATCAAAATATCTGTAAACAATTATCTAACTTGACATCTTTTAACTGATTTAATTAGACCGCGTTGACCATCACAAATAAAAACAACGAGTCTGTTTTACTGCTGTGACTCAGCAGGCTTCAAAAGGTTCATCGATCTCGCTTCTTAAAAAGGTGCTTCAGCGTCCCGGAGCAGAACGGACAGCGGTTCTCGTCTTTTTGTATTTTTCTCTCTGCCACAGGCCGCGGTTCATTTCGCCGGCTCGGGGATGGGCGGAGCGCGCTCCAGCCTCATGGTCCAGGGGTCAGAGGTCGCAGCGTAAAACGGAGAGTGGCCGAGCACTTCTTCTCCCGCCAGGGCGAAGGCGAACACTCCCCTCTGCCTCCCTGCTGCCGCCTTCCCCTCCTCCGCCAGGCGCTTGCGCTCCTCCCGCCGCTCCCCGCCCTTCAAACCCAGGCCCCTGTTGCCCAGCATCTCCCCGAGTCCGTGACCCTTGACCCCCTGGTACGCCGGGCTCAACCCGTTCTCCTCGAACCGGTTGCCGGCGGCGACGGCAGGCGGGCAGAGGAAGTTGCCGGCGCCTGCGGACCGCCACGCCGCCGGCTTCCTCCCCCTGCGGGGGCGGGAGATGCGGCAGCTCTGCCTCTTGATGTGTCGGTGCAGGTGGTCGGACCGCGTGAAGCTCTTGTAGCAGTGCTCGCACTGGTACGGGCGGACGCCCGTGTGGATGCGCAGGTGGTTCTTGAGGTCGTAGTTGTGGACGAACTTGGAGTTGCAGTGGAGGCAGATGTAGGGCCGCTCGCCGGTGTGCTTCCTCATGTGGATCTTGAGTTTGTCTTGTCTGAGAAAGAAGAACAAAACCAGGTGTTTTTTGTTGTAGGACGAAAGGTTTACACGTTGACTACACTGCTTTTCTTTGGCCTTTTTTAGATTTTGTCTTTTGCACTAATGCAAAGGAACCAACTGAGGGGGTTTTCCACTCTGAGCTCTTTGATGTTCAGGCGAAAACACATTAACCTCAGTCTAAGGTCAAACGGGGGTACTTTTCCGTTTACCCTGCAGTTTTACATAACCCGCTGCTTTGAACGCACAGGAAGAGATCTCGAGATGATCTCCCCATGGCCTTTTAATATGGAACACGTGAAGCAAAATGATGACGAGGATCTGAACAGAGAGGTGCTGCTCCACATACCTGGTGAACCGAACTTCACAGATGGTGCACATGTACGGCTTCTCGCCCGTGTGCGTCCTCATGTGTCGCGGCAGTTTCCCGGCTCCCTGGATCACCTTGTTGCAGATGGGACACTGCTGCGACGCCTTGGGCTTCATCTTCCTCTCCTCCTCCAGCTGCCAGGGAGGGAACAGCGCCCCCAGGTGGGACGCGGAGCTCAGGAAGCTCAGGTACGACCGGAAGTCGGCCTCGTCCTTTATGGGACCCAGAGCGTGACCCTCCGAGGGCCCTGACCCCGTGTTCATGGCGCCGCCCAGGCCCGAGCTGACGAACTCCTTCAGGAAGTCGCCGTTGAGCAGGCTCAGCGGTATTTCGTCTTTCGCCTCCTCCTTTATGAGCCCCCTTTTCGCGGCCAGATCGAGGGGCCTCGAGGCGTCCAGCGGGGCCGAGGCGGGGAAGGCGTGGTGAAACCCGGCCTGGTGCGGGGCCCCCGTGTGGGGATGCTGGTGGTGGCCGGGATTCAGGAACTGCTTGGGGAACGTCGGGAACTCGGCGGCCCACACGGAGGGGTAGAAGCCCGGCAGGAGAGGAGAGAGGTCGGCCCTCCTGTCCAGCGTCGACACGCGGGGGTAGAGACCGTCCTGGAGGAGAGACTCGATGGAGAAGTCCTTCAAAGCCCGGCTCTCCAAACTCTCCTGCAACACAAGACGCCACCGTGAGCCTTTTGGACTTTTGATCGCCACAATGCACCATAAGTAACCCGAAAGATCCAGTCAACTATACCTGTTTCCCTCTCAGCGTGTCTGGAGACCACTGGGACGACCCTCTGTGCTGCTGGTGGTACATGGAGGTGCTGGGGGGCGGCGACTCCTCCGTCCCCAGGGGCCTCCTCTCCCCCCGGCTCTCCGACGACCGCCGCGACCTCTCGCTGACGTCGTCCTCCTGCTCGTCCTCCCGCTCGTCCTTCCTCGACCCCTCGTCCTCCTCTTCGTCCTCCTCTTCTTCTTCCTCCTCCTCCTCCTCGTCTTCCTCCGCGTCCTCCCCGTCCTCTCCGTCCTCCGGTCTCCCCCCTCCGCCACCCCCGCTGTCCATGATCTCCAGGCAAACGTTGATGATGCAGGGGATCTCCAGCATCTGGGCGGCCTTCAGGATCTCTTTGACGTTAGACGCCGTCACGGTCAGAGTCGACGTGTAGGCGAACTCCAGGATGGCGGTGAGGGGCTCCGGGGCCACGAAGTCGATCTCGTACACGGCCACCGCGGCGTGATGATCCCCGCCGTCGGCCGTGGCCACCGTGAAGAGCTTCTTGAAGTACTGGCTGCAGGCGGCCAGGACGGAGCGGTGGGTTCGGTACTCGTGGTCGCGGACGATGAGGACGACGTCGCACAGCAGCCCGTCGCGGCGCTGCTCGTTGAGGCTGCAGAGGACGTCGCTGCTGTGATTTGGGAAGGGGATCCCGATGAGATCCTCCTCTCTGTGGTGAACCATTCTGCTCTCGGCTGTGGTCTAGGAGAGAAGACCAGGGAAATTTATAGAAAAAGACCCACAGGCTGATAAACTCAATCTTTTAAATATTTGTCCATGTTGTGTTGATTTGTTGATTTGTTCAGGTTTGTCTCACTGTAGAAGGGAGTTAAATAAATAAAGCTTCACAAAGTAACCAGGATAAAAGTCAGTTTGAATGATCAAAAACCTGAGTACAAAAGAGTTGTCGTGCAGTTTCATTTTTTTGTCCAAAAATACCTTGAGAATTTTATACTGCGATTCACAAAGTCCTCTTTGACTTCCTGTTGCCAGGTGACGATTGGCCACAGTCATTTTCACATTGAAAATCCCGTCAGAAGCAGAAACATTTCGTCATCTCAAGCACCTTTAATTTTTTCATTCCTTTGAGGAAGACGTTAAGGCAAATGAGGATTCATTGTTCTAAAAACATCGATTTTAAGAGTCAACAATGACAAGCAGCTGCCATTCATTAGGTGAAGGATTTAAAAAAAGTGTTGTCATGTGAATAGATGGAAGCTGATATTGTTAACAATGAGTGACAGTCTCGCTTTATTAAAATATACTGTAGGCATGCTTGTTTGTGTGCCATCTGTGCAGCGAAGGAAACAAGCGGTAAATAAAGCATGTCTCATTTTCAGCAAACATCGCATCTTGTAATATTTATTCTTGAATGTGCCATCACAATCTCTGGTAGGAACGTGTTTTTTTTCCACTCTGTGTGTTCGGGAAACCCATCATGCCGGCAGCACATTAGACAAAAGTCCACTGTTCTCCCATTAATATGTTTACTGCTGCTTCTGTTTGACGCTGCAGTTCCTAAAACAAACAATAAAGCGTGTGATTTCCATCCCTCTCTCTATCCGTCTTCCTCTCTATACCCGAGCACGAAGCAAGGCGATGCCTTCATGTGAACAACTTCTGGCGCGATTGGGATGTGGTGAGAAATGAAACGAAACGACAAAGGAGGTCAGATTGCACTCTAGATAGATGAACTGTATCCTGTCAGAATGCTCACTTGTGCACTAAACCCTCCCCACTCTCGTTTGATTTACGGCTCTGTGACTAAGAGCCACGATGTTCTTTCTGCTGCGCTTCTCTCTAAGAAACGTCATTCCGCAGCTTCCTGGGTTCCTACCTGTTGATTCACTGCAGCTACGGCGGTAAAGCTTCGTCCACATGTATGAATAGTGCTTAAAATACGCCGTCCACACTTGGTGGTCATGGAGGCCGGTGTAGACGGATACTTTGATGCGTGGCTCACTCGCCACAGCTGCATTGTTGACTGGCTCTAAAACGGCCATGGCTGAATGCGCGCACACACACACACACACACACAGACACACACTTTCTTTTGTGGATCACCCCGAAAAAAGGGGAAAAATAAAGATTTTCAGAGAATCGCATACTTGTACACAAGTACACCTACAGGTATACAACTTGCATACCAATCTTACATGTGGTTTATTCTTGTCCATCTTGTTGCTAGGTAACCGTTGCTACGTTGATACAGCGTGGTCATAATTAAAATGTGCATGGAGGGGGTGGCGGTGCAGGATGTAGGACCACGGACCTACTGCGCGTGGAGCCACCTCGAACCACTCTGACGGGGGAACTGGGAGAGATCAGATGGCCCTGAAAAGTCCCCTAACAGGTTGCACAAACACCAGCCGAGGGGCCCCTCCCTGCCACGGCCTGCCAAGGCAAACAATGGCGCAGAGCTTGGAACAACGCGGAGCGGATAAGAGGGAGAGAAAGGGAGTCCGACCGGGAGGCCTCGGCCAACCCGCCGCGACGCGTTTGCCCTCCCACCCACTCCTGGTAAGTATGAGGCACGTGCGGCTGCAGCTGTTTGTTTTGCCCTGGCGCCCCGGCGAGCACCACTCACCTGCCCCCCCGCCCCTCCGTTCCCACTGTTTTTGCCCCCCCCCTCCCATAATTACATTGTGGAGAGGATCTGAGGAGGACGTGCCACATAGACAGGGAGGGGAGGAGGACACGGCTTTCTCACCGCGAGGTCCTGGAGCGACATTTCATCAGCCAAACAGCCTTAACCCTTTCAACCCCCCCCCCCCCACGCACACACACCCGGGCCTGTTCATGGAGCAGCCAGGTTTCATGGCCTTGTGAGAGGGTTCTGGTAATTACTGCGGCTCCTTATCCATCTTAGTCTTCCAGTAAAGTCAAAGAAGGGCAACCTCCCTTTTTACGCTCTGATAAAACGTAATGACCGTCATTCAGTGACACGTTTTTGAATAAATAAATAGTCTGAATCGTGTTTTGTTGCAATCATCAGCCGCAGCGGGTTTTTTTCTGTTCATCCCGCGTCAGCGAATTAAATCACTTCACGGGAATTCCAGTTCCATGTGTAATAACTATTCACACCTCAGCGACCAGTTCAATTATTAAACTGACCTCTAACGGACCGTCCTGCCCGTCTCTCTGCGTGTCCCTCTCTCTCTCTCTCTCGTTTTCCGCCCGCCACGTCTCCTCTCATGCCTCACTTAGTCACTAACACGTTCAACTCAGCACTCCCACCCCCAACGATGTGTCACCTCCATTCGGCGTTGTCTTTGTCCCAAGAACTTCATCTGCTTTCCGGGATCTGAAAATCCCACCTCCTCCTAATCCCCCCCCCCCCCTGCCCCCCCACCTCCTCCCCAAGCTTCACCCCCCCCTGCCGCTGTATCATCATTACGCCTGGAGGAGCGGAGCGGCTAACTTGTCCAAAGCCCTTGGCCGCTCAGGCCACAAATCAGCAGGCTAATGTCCATCTCGAGCCGTGTTGGCGGGCAGACACTCATTTGGCCTGTAAGCTACAAAGTTTATCCCTGTCAGAGCCATGCAGCCACCTGACCCACACCACACTGATGCTAAATCACCGGCAGCCAAAGTTCACCCCCTTGTCACCACCTGTCCCGCAGGCACAACACCCGGCACACAACAGCTGCACAATGGACAATTGCACGGACAATAACTTGCAGTGTTGACGGACAGAATCCACACCTTATTAGCAGGAGACATTGATTTGACCGGCTGTGTAAGCAAGTCCATTATCACCAGTGCGACCGTGCACCTGTTTCTCCAGCAGACAGCTCCTTGGTTGGGGTTTTAAATGACGATGGCCTGGTGCCTATAGGCGGCATCGGGGAACTTTCACTCTTAATTGATGTCAACTTGAGCAGGTGAACAGCGTATGACTCCTGTTCCACAAACTAGGTTGTTTTTTTGCAATAATTATAAAAATGTCAGGGCCAAATTTGAGCTTTTAGCTGGACAAGTTGCGGATTGCTTGAAAGTTATTTGTGGAAAGTTTACACAGTTTAGCGCATATTTCTTCCACACAACAGTGCTGTAAAATATGATGTTGGAAGTGAAGTAAAGACATTTTGATAATTGCGAGTTCAACACCTCCCTTTAACTGAGAGATTGTGGTTTATACGTTTCAACTGGTGTACCAATAAATTCTTAGATTTAATTACTGAGTGCTATTATTTCAGCAAAAAAAGATGTCATGCCTTTAAATCGTACTAAAGCTGCATATATTATCAGTGTGACGAAGTGAAATGTTTGAAGAAAACACAAATCTCTTCTGTTTGCACTGAATGTCTTCTCTCTCTCAGGGGCCCTCAGCTACAGACCATTGTGTCTCTCACCCCCCAAAGTAAATGGAAGTTTATGATTCGCTGCTGAATATCGGTGCTTAAGAATGTTGATTCTAGACTTGTTATCTAAAGCACATATTTTATTTTCTTCTACATAACGTAATGTTTTGCTACGATTCTGTTTGGTTTGAATGAAGACCCCCAAAGTTATGTTGTCTTTGAGAATATAACAATAAAAAAACAAATATATATATCATAAATCAGGGATATTACTGCTTTTTTTTTTAAAACCAAGCCTTGTTTTTCATTAGCATTGTTCCTACATTCAAAATGTGATGTAATTTACCATGAATTGTTAAATCTATTTTTAAAGTGAAAGTGATTTGTAATGAACAGTGAGTGAGCCTGCTGAGCAGGTGTCTAACTTAAGGCCGTCTTTTAAAGTGACCTGATATATATGACAATATCCCACTCAATGAAAAACGAATAAATGAAACACTAAATTGTATCCTTTTTTAACAATTGCTGTGTGAGTAATTGCAGTAGAGCATTTGTTGACTAATACAAATAAATCTCAGAACATAGTTAACAATCCTAATTGGGATACTAGTCTTAAAAAAAACTCCATGAGGTAAGAGGTCTGTGAGCCGGCTAACAACCAGTCTGTTGTAAACAGTCATTTACAGCTCAGCCTCAAATACATAACATGCTTTTATTTTGTCCACACTCGCAAACATCCCGCTATCTTTGCGAATTACCTGAGTATTTGTTTTGGGTTTGAAGGAGAACCTCGCGTAGATATGGAATATCTAAAAGTGCAATGTGTAATTACTGTTGGAGACCAAACACATACTTAAGCTCACTTAAACTGCTACGTTTGACATTTCCAAGACGTGCTGTGATGCTATAAATGCTCTTGTTATTTCCAGAATATTTACAATACAGCCTGAATGATCACACGAGTCATTAAGCGACTTTATTAACGTGTTTGCACCTCGTCAGGCCTTTACGATCTGCAGCTACAACACCCTGTAAGCAGGGACGCTACTTGTTACACGTGTGCTCACTGTAACATGATGGACAAGTGCGAGCTTGATCGCTCACATGCAGACTCTGAAAAAAATGTGTCAAATTATTGTGGACATTTACGCACACACACACACACACACACACACACACACACACACACACACACACACACACACACACACCCACACACACACACCCATGTGCATACTCCAAAACTCTGACTTGCACATAAATTCCTTCATGTCTCGATACGTTTGCCAGCATTCCACAGCTTTCAGCGCCCATCTCCTACCTTGCCTGCAGCTTCTCGTGATTCCCGTCACGTGGCTTTGTATTTCCAGACTACTAAGAGGCTCTGTTGCTCCTCGCTTGACCTCTCAGCATCGCCCTTTCAAATTGAAAAAAAAAAAGAAAAAAAAAACCTGATCACAGCTGCCTCTCTTGCCTGTCAATCAGCCTGGCCCGGCCGGTCACTCCATTCACCGGCTCCCCACACCGGCCACGGATGCCCATTCACAAAAACACATAAAAAAAAATAAAAAATAAAACACCTGAAGAGGAATATCCAATGGAGAGGAGCCGAGGGAGAGCAGAAAGCGTGATTTCCCGGGTCCGTCTGTGGAGCGCGGTGGCTAGTGTGGAGTTAAGAGTCAGGCTCACTGTTGTGTGTGGCTCATATAGGACGAGCGAGAGAGTGAGAGGAAGGGAGGGAGGGCAGCAGCAGCAGCACGGCGCTGAGGAGATGTCGCACCACTAGTTTTTATAGCAGGGTGGGTAGCTGGAAGATAATAATACCCCATCCTCCTCCACAACACAAGTTTAAGCGCACTGTGTAATAAGCCCGTGGCGCAGACACCCTCTGATTTAGGTCAGACAAAATGAATTTTTAGTTGTGTTAGAGTGGATTTTTTTTTTTTTTTTGGTATAAAAGGGACCGGGGCAAAGAAACTCTGAGGGGTTGTTTGGGGAAAACTGAGGATGAGGGTAAAAAAAAAAAAAGGAAAGGAGAAAGAGAGAGAAGTTGGGATACTATTTTCTGCACCTCTTTTGGTTAATCTCAAACTGAGATGAAGAGACGTAAAAGACTAAAAGTAGTCGCTCACTCAGTCAGGCAGCTGCAGCTTAAAGCCAGCGAGTTTCAGTTTTACACCTGTTTAAAATGGAGTCTTGCTCCTCTCTGTTTCCTCATAAAACACGGTTGCATGTGTGATGCAAATGTCCAACTCCAACATATAACAGGCTCTTTGAGACCTCGGTGCATGTGGCCGGACTGTCGAAGACAAAGAGGTGCACGCTGGGTCTGTTCAGCCCCCAGAAACACACTCAGTCACAACACACTAATAACTGAACTCACGTTAACACCCTTCGGCGTGCGACACCCGGCAGTCGGAGCCGTATAAAACTGTCTGACTCGGTCCACGGAGTTCATTTTAGGGTGAATTGTCACTTAAAAAGCCAGACAATCTGAGGCACAAACGCAAACACTGGAACACACCCCGAGCTGTCTGCTGACTAGCGTCGTTTTTATTTTCATAACCACGGTTTCAAAACCTGCTTTGAAAGAGCAGAAGGCCAACGTCACGTTCCTGTTTTGAGTCGGAAAGTAGCCAAAGCCAAAGTACCCCCCCACCCTACATGGAGGAGGAGAACGTTTATGCAGAACGTTGCAGAAATAAGCCATTAAGTAGAGGCTTGAGTGACAGGACGAGGGAGCCTGTTAAGCAGGTGATTGGCTAAATATCAAACGTCAAGGAATGCGATGACATTGCACTTTCACAGGAGCTGAATAAGCCATTTGGCTCTCCTGTATGACATCGTTAAACCCGCCCCTTTGTATCACTGAATGATTATTTTTCAATTAAGTTTGCTTACAGCAGGCAGGCTGTTAGTGACGACGACCACCTGTCACTCAAACATTTTACGCCCACTTCAACGGCAGTGAGTGAAAACTTAAATAATGTTTACACCAAGTTAAATAAAAATGACCCCCTCCTCCCCCGTAGGGACAAATTGTTAGGCATGGTTATTTTAGCTGTAAAGTTTCAAATGGAGGTCTATGGAGTCACGGAGCCTTTTAGAAAAACCTTGTCGGCTTCGTCTGCTCGCGTTTATTTTACCCGTGAAAAGGACCACGTTCTGTTCAGGCAGACAAACAGTGACGAGGGCTAAATTTGATTATCCAACATGCAATTAAGGAAGAATCCTAGCCTCCTCTCCTTGTTACCTCAGCGGCTACTTGACCCTCAGATCCACCAAAATACGAATCCCAAGTGTCTACTCGATTGTGTCGAGTTAACCTCCACAAACAAGTAGACACGATAGTGTACATCAGACAGCTATGCCCACTTCCCTTCGGTGAAAACCTGCACTAAAGCAGACCGCAGCCCTTGTGGTTTACACTGTTTTGTACAGGGGGAGAGTTAAGGCCAGCTCACGTTGGCATCCAGTATATATAAACAGGGTTAGCCACTAACTGCTAGCAGGCCAGCCAGACGGCCGGAAAAACAACATTCGCCATCCTATAAGATCGGCTATCTACCCTAAAAAGCCCGGCGGTGCCGTCATAGCAGCGCGCGGTAAGTGGCACCTGTGTGCACTGCTTTGTTCACGGCGCGGCACAGATACAGTACGGCCATGAAATCAACTCCATTATTGTAAAAAGAACAGGAAATATGAACCTGGCGCCTCGGTGTTTGAAATTGATGTCGTATGTGGCGAGTCTTGTTGCTAAACAAGAAAGGGCTCAAGTGTGTGTGCGTGTTGGGGGGGGCTGAGCGAGTCTGTGTTTTGTCTGTCTGTCTGTCTGGCGTCTCCACATACCTGTTTACTGCCTCCCGCTGCGCCCAGCACGACGCATGTATCAGGGCACCAGATTGGCACTTCGCAGGGGGGTGGAGGGGGGGTGGGGGGTGTGAAGCATCTTTTCATAGAGTTGATATCATGGTGACTTTGCTGGAGAATATCAGCAGCGGCAAGACTTCTCTACAGAAAACTAAGAGCTCGGCTTGTCTCGGCAGCATTAGCTGCACCGCAACGTGAGAAATCCGGCAAACTCTGCATATAGTTGTAGTTGTTGGGCACCTTCGCCCCGGTGCGTCGGGGGCCCAGGTGTGGCCCCGGCGTGGGAGAGACGCAGGAAAGGGAGTCAATCATCTCCCCCCGACAGTCCAGAGATAGAGCATCGCACCAGCCTCCGAGGGCTACACCCCCCGTCTTCAGTCCAAGGACGGAGAGACACACACACACACACACACACACACACACACACACACACACACACACACACGCAACAAAGGGAGGCAGGCGTGTGTTGAATCACAGAGACACACACCTGTCTGTCAGGTCATTACAACTCACCTCGGAGCATGCCATTCGGGTGAGTGAGGCGAGGGCATTTTCATTCTGCTGACCGGTCCGTTTGTGGGTTAACTTTCTCCGGTTCTGTCTTCTTTTCAAACGCCCTAATCGGCATGAGGAGCTTTGCCAGAAGGGAGGTTAAGTACACAAGCTGCATGGAGTTACAGTGTTTCGCTGGTGGCCTTAATGAACTCAGCGGCTGCGGGTGAGGATGCAGCTTGAATGTTGTGCGCCGATGTTTGCAGGAGACAAATACGTTTCATTCTTCGCGTTGAATACACAGAGATTTACTTCCAATCCGAAGCTGCAAACAAAATGCGAGAGCGGTCAAACCTCCGAGCCACCGCTTCCACATCAACACTTCTGAATACCAGTCTTGTGTTGCGTTTGTTTGATTTGCATGGTGTGAATGTTTGTGTGTGTGCGCATGTTGAGAGTCGCGGGGTGAATGAGGACAACTCCTTGTGTGGATAACGAGAAGGAGGCCAGCTTTGGTGGGACAGCCTCTGTCTGCCCTCAGGTTAGTGTGTGTGTGTGTGTGTGTGTGTGTGTGTGTGTGTGTGTGTCAGCAGGAGAGCCCCCGGGCACTCTGGCACCTCCTAATTAAAACCAGTCAGGCTGCAGGGCAAGGGAGACAGATGCCTGTCATGGCACACAGACACACACACGGACACGCACACACACACGCACACAACGTGGTGGACCACATTCAACCACATGCGCGCTCACAAACACACCAGAGTAATGCGCAGGTCAGCTATTTTGCACCCAATCTCGTCCCGCCCACTCAGGTCTCACACAGGTAAACGAGCCTGCGTCCGACCCACATGACAAAAGGGGAAACCGCAGTAACGTGATTCGTGTCATTGAGGCCGCCGAGAATCCAAAGACAAAGGAGACCGAGGCACGAATCGAACGTTCGACTGGCGCACGTGTGAGTTTCACCAGTGAATCCGGTAAGCGGTGCGCGTATTTGGGTTGAAAATGAGCCGTCTGCAGCTTTGTACTTGAAACCCGGTGTCACTCACACTCTCACATGCAGGCTTCCAGATTGACGCCCCCTCAACCCCCCACCAATACCACCCTCCTTTCCCAGCACAGAATGAGACATAATGGTACTCAAGGTTGTTTCCCTAGTCTGTCACATTTGATTTTGGCCCCCCCCCCCCCCCACCACCACCCTCCACCCTCGTGTACAGCCCTGAGCTCCATACCACCACATACGCGCGGCAGGCTAACTGCTGCTTGTCTGGGGTAGGTGGGTGGATCAAGGCCTGCTGCTCTCCGTTCTCTCCCAATGATTAGGTGGCATAAGCAGGCCAGCTAGCCGAACCCACACACTCATGTCTCTGAAACCACCATCCAGCCCCGCTTTCTCTCTCGCTGCCTCTCACACACACAGGTGGGTGGACCCACTTATTCAACCCAGATCTTTCTTTTAGACATTATGAAATCATGCTCTCTTCTTCTTCTTCTTCTTCTTTTTTTTTTTTTTTTCATCCAACACCCTGCTGCTGAATGACATTCAACTCTTTCCCGCAGACTTGTTCTACAAAGTTAATTTAGAGATCTCTGTGCTGAGAATGGTGTCTCTTTGCACTTGTCACTCGGCGGAGGCCGGTTGGGTTTCCAGTGGTTACGGAGGCCTATTTTCTATTATCTAGGTAACATTCAGGAAACACCCACAATATGTGCTTGAAATGCTTCGTTGCACAAGCGCAACACTGATTGGGGTCGCGACTGACATTTCAGATGTACAAATGTGGGGAAAAGAATTGATATTATTCCTGCTGTGATTGAGTAAAGCTAATGCTACTATAAGGGTATTAGAAGGAATTCATATTAAACGAGTGTCAGCAGCTAGTGTGTAATGCAATTCATTTGAAATAAAAAAATTCACTTCATACGTGTATACTGACACAAATAACTCATTCTTGAGGGTATTTGAATGAACGCAATTTTAGTTCCTCTTGAGTCTGGGACAAGATGGGACAAGGTATGTCAACACAGAGTCACTTTGTGAAAGAAAAATGCTGAAACATGATGAAAGGCAGCAGCAGCAGCAGGAACAGAGGGAGCCGGATGGTGCAAATGGAGAAATTGTTAACGAAAAATAAAGAATAAAGCATGAAAAGCAGAGAGGGTGCGATCGAGCCGACCTCTGGGAGTGCGAGTGCCTGCCTCCCCGGCTCGCTTTGTCGTTTGCCGTGTTTCGTGAGGAACGCGAAAGTACACAAATCCCACTGAAGGAGCGTTTTTGGCAAGGGCCCGGGCCTCCCACCCACGGCAGCCTCTTCAAGCCTCCTCCCATCCTCTATTCATCTGTGAGGGGCGGCTTACTCACCCGGCCCAACTCCACACACACACACACACACACAACAAAACCTGGACCTCAGTACTATACGGAGGAGGGCGGACACGCACGCACGCATGCACGGTTACTTTGGCCATTGTGTACATGCAAACTCACAAGTGTGTATCAACCTGAACTTCAGCCGTCCAAACGGGGCTTTGAGAACGCGTGGGAAGGA